CCTTTGTATAATGTAAATAGCATTACTGTAAATTTTTTAAACAATCAAATACATAAAGATGCATCTAAATCCATGTCTGTTCTTTAAACTTGTTTGAACTAGGGCTGTCAAGCGATTAAAAAATTTAATCTTGATTAATTTATTTAAATATTTTGGGTTTTTTTTTAGATTTTCAAATATATCTCAATTACAACATAGAATACAAAGTGTACAGTTCTCACTTTATATTTATTTTTGATTACAAATATTTGCCATGTAAAAAACAAATAGTTTTTTTTTCAGTTCATCTCAGACAAGTGCGGTAGTGCAATCTCTTTATCATGAAAGTTGAACTTACAAATGGAGAATTATGTACAAAAAAACCCTGCATTCAAAAATAAAACAATGTAAAACTTTAGAGCCTACAAGTCCACTCAGTCCTACTTTAGCCAGTTGCTCAGACAAACAAGTTTGGTTACATTTACAGGAGATAATGCTGGCTGCTTCTTATTTACAATGTCACCTGAAAGTGAGAACAGGTGTTTACATGGCACTTTTGTAGCCGGCGTTGCAAGGTATTTATGTGCCAGATATACTAAACATTTGTATGCCCCTTCATGCTTCAGCCACTATTCCAGACAACATGCTTCCATGCTGATGATGCTCATTTAAAAAAAAAAAATGCGTTAATTAGATTTGTGACTGAACTCCTTGGGGGAGAATTGTATGTCTCCTGTTCTGTTTTACCTATATTCTACCACGTATTTCATGTTATAGCTGTCTTGGATGATGACCCAGCACATGTTCATTTTAAGAACACTTTCACTGCAGATTTGACAAAACACAAAGAAGAAGGTACCATTGTGACATTTCTAAAAATAGTTAAACACTCGACCCAAGGTTTAAGAATCTGAAGTGTTGCCCAAAAACTGAGAGGGATGAGGTGTGGAGCATGCTTTCAGCAGTCTTAAAAGAGCAACGCTGTGATGCAGAAACTACAGAACCCGAACCACCAAAAAAGATGATGAAAAAGAACATGCATCAGTTCACTCTGCTTTGGATAGTTATCAAGCAGAACCCATCATCAGCATGGATGCATGTCCTATGGAATGGTGGTTGAAGATGAAGGGATATATGAATCATTAGCACATCTGGCATGTAAATATCTTGTGAAGCCAGCTACAAAAGTGCCATTCGAACGCCTGTTCTCACTTTCAGGTGACATTGTAAACAAGAAGTGGGCAGCATTATCTCCTGCGAATTATAACCAAACTTGTTTGTCTGAGCGACTGGCTAAAGTAGGACCAAGTGGACTTGTCTGCTCTAAAGTTTTACTTTGTTTTGTTTTCGAGTGCAGTTATGAAACAAAAAAAATCTACATTTGTAAGTTACACTTTCACGATAGAGAATGTACTATAGTACTTGTATGAGGTGAATTGAAAAATACTATTTTTTCATTTTTACAGTGCAAATATTTGTAATAAAAAAATATACAGTGAGCACTGTACACTTTGTATTCTGTGTTGTAATAGAAATCAATATATTTGAAAATGTAGAAAAACATCCAAAAATATTTAATAAACTTCAATTGGTAGTTTGTTTAACAATGCAATTAATCGCGATTAATTTTTTTAGTTAATCATGTGAGCTAACTGCGATTAATCGACAGCCATAGTTTGAACATTTCATTTTCGATTCTTGACTTTTAATTAACATTTTAATAAGACAGTTAGTTACTTTTGTTATAGCTATGTGACCATGTTTGTAATAAAAATGTGTAAAGAAAAAGTATGGACTAAGAGTGTACTTCATTCAGGTCAAATTACTAGCCTGACATGATTGTAGGTGGAGCTCCAATAGGAACCATGCAACTACAATCAGTTGACACAAATTTCAGTGACTAAAGGTACTACCTGTGTGCACCACTGGGCCAATAGAACCCACTAGATACCAGCATACACAAAAGAGTTAAGTAGGAAAAAAGATTTAACATCCTGCCTCACCCTGAAAAAGCCACTTGAGATAGAACACTAATAATACTCTGCTGATTAAAGCCAGTGGACCTACTGGTATAAGACAAACAGGAGTTAGTGTTTCTAAATATAAGTGAAGAGAATATTTTACCGATACAGGATGCACAGGAGAAAATAGACTATATTAGTTCTACTAACTAAAAAGTTTCACTTAGGCCACACCTTATTGAATGTCAAATTAGACTCTCTGAAAGAAGAGGACCTTTTTTCTCTTTAAGTGCTAGAATGGTGGTGACTTAATCTCCTAATTCTAAAGTGGATAAAAATCAATGACTTTTTAAAAAATTGGATTTTTAAATTTAAATACATATTTATGTAAAATAAATCTATTTAAAATTAAATTTGAAATTGACAACCTATATTAAGGCCACTATAATCTATTATCATCTAAATTTTATATAAAAAAATCCAAGCAGTACATATTTGCTGCCAAAGTTTTAAAGGAATTCAGACCACTGATCTGGTGGACGTCACTAGCTAAGACCCTGGAACCATAGTCTCTTGAAGTGCTAAGCCAGCTTTTGACAGCCATAGCCTCTTCTGCAGGTGCAGAGAGAATATTTTCTTTTCAGTTTATTCAGCTAGGTCAGTTCAATTACAAGTTTATTCAAAGTTGAGAAATTGATTCAGAGTTGTAAAAGTAAGAAAGTTTTGTTTCTTCTTCCACTGTGTATAAAAATGAGGTGAGAGGATGAGAGACTAGTTCTTAAAAACTTGGATATGGTGACAAGAAACAATCAGTTTGATACACTAACTACAGATAATACTTCCTTTGTTTAATAAATCCAGTACTGCAAAACATGTTTTGATACTTCCTCCCGCCTCTGCTTCTTCTTCCCTCCACCCCACCCCGTTATGTGTCCAATACATTTAAGGTAGTTTTATTTAACTAATAAAAATACCATTTTAAAACATTGGGTTTTTTAAACTTTTTAATTTAATTCTAATTTTCATCCAAATGCAGCTTGATACAAATCAGAAGTAAAAATTAATCCACTAAATAAGAAATAAATCATTCACCATTTTACATTTTTATATTCTGTCAGAAAAATTAAGAATCTGAATAAATGTATGTTAAGGGGTATAATGTGTTTAAATAAATGCATATAGATACATTATATCCCCCTCATTAGCAAAAACTATGGAACTTAGTGTAAAGGCTATATTTAGTTGAAAATCAACATGTTTTGCAAGGCTAAAATTGGTTCTTTATTCCCAGATCTTTATTCTCAGCACCAGGTTTTAATTCGTGGTTCCCTGATCCTTATTCAAAGGCCAGAATTATTTTAAAGTACATCAATGTAAGAGTCATTGTTTAGAAATTTCATCAAATTAATATGATTGTGATTAAAATTTACATTACTAAACATTAAATAATCAATGGGTTTTGACTGGCTATACATGACAAAATGTGCCTCAGGTCCCCGAGTGGCATGTCCCCACAACTGTGGTACTGTTCTGAAGGAGCTGGGACATGGCACTCGCTGCCCCAAAGCTTCATTCCTAGGAAGTGTGCTGTCATGTGTCATGCTCCCATCCCACTTCCATTTTGTGAATAGTGTTTGAATAAGGTGCTGGGGTTTGTCAGACTGTACATGACAAAATGTGTCTCAAGTGAGCCCAAGTGACATATCCCTATAACAGTTCCACTCTTTTGAAGGAGCTGGGACATGCCACTCCCTAACCCGAAGCTTCATACTTGAACAGCATGTTGCCACGTTACATCCCCACCCCTCTTCTGTATTATACTTAGGGCTTGAATAGAGAGTTGCAATTTGACTGACTCTACATGCCAAACTGTGTTTTGGGTCACCTGAAGTGACATGTCCCTGCATCTCACAGTGTTCTGAAGGACCTAGCACATGCCACTCATTGGCCCCAAGCTTTGCTCCTGAACAATATGCTACAAAAGATCACATTCCCACCCCTCTTCCATATCCTGCAGAGGACTTGAATAAGGAGTTGTGTTTTAACTGACTGTAGATGATGACAAAATAAGTCATGAGTCAGCCCATCCCTCCCAGGTGACACGTCTGCAATCATCAGACTGCACTGAAGGTGCCGGGATATGCTACTCTTCAACCTGAAGCTTTATTCTTGAGCAATGTACTGTCATGTCTCATACCCCTATCCCACTTCCATACTGTAAATGTTGCTTGAATAAGGAACTTGGTTTTATCTGGCTGTTTGTGACAAAAAGCATCTGCCACCATTCGACAAATCTGAAGGAGCTGCGACATGTAATTTTGGGTATGGCTTTTCTGAGTGCTAACCGATATTGTACCTCTTCTTCAATATTGTCTATTTCAGTTAGTAAACATGCAAAAGGCATGTAAAAAACACAAAGCAATATTCAATATTTGTAAATCCATCTGTAATGTTTTCACAAATTGTATGGACAGCTAGAAATTAGGAAGCCTATAAAAATGCTTGCTTGTTCTTTGATAACTTTTGAACAGAAAAAAGGCTTTATCAAATTTTAATTGTGTTAGAAATAAATACATTTGTTGTTAGTGACGTTCTTTTGCTTGTTACACAAGGGAAGTAAGATAAAGAAAGTATGGTTTGGGTTTTTGGAGCTGCTCTTGAGGATCCTGAAAAATATTTGCCTTGCTTCTTGGGTGTTGAATGTGGATTTTTATTGCAAGTCTTACCTTGAGTGAGAGGCTCTGGAATATCTAAATCCACAACCTTGTTAGCTACTATATTCTTAGACTCCTGTTACCGACATGCAAAAGGCTTACTGCAGTTGCCCCACAGTTTAGCTTTAATTGTGAAGTTCATAATTTCCACAAACTCTGAAGCTCTGCAGTGGAGTTTGTCATTTTTCACAATTCTGAACAAGTTTTCAACAATGGTAATATTGTCCCTGGTTAATGGCCATTTTATTGCTTGTAGCATAATGCCACTCCATAATAGTACTAGTGAGACATACTCGAACAGGACTTCCCACAGTTCAGTACTATTATACATCTGGAGGAGAATTTACATTCTCTAGATCATCTTTTCCCAGATGTGTGTGGTGGAATCAGTTTAATAAAAGATGATTTCTGCAAATTGCTCTTTGTTTATTTTCAGTCACCATTTTCTGGTCAAATCCAAGAATGTCTTCAGTGAAGGATATCTGTTGTTTCCATACAGGTTGTGTTACCTCTCTTATTAAGTCCCTGCACTGTCTGGTTAAATGTGCTGTACTGAAAAATCTTGCCGAGCCTGTTAATCATTTTACTACATTCATGCATTGCTTTCCCATTTTTCAATAGTGTACAAGCATACAAGAAAAACTTCTTGACATCAGTGGACACTTACTTTAGCTACATGTCCACATTTTTAATCATATAGCTGCACAAATGTGTAATATTGTAAAATCAACTTGCCGAACCCAGTGCCTGGAAAGCTGCTAGCTATAAGGATCCAAGATTGTGTTTGTTGACAAGGCTCTGAAGTATTTGGAAGAGAAATGAGATGCTGCCATTCTTCTCAAACTTTGAAATCCAGCTGAAATACACTGATATATTTTTAAATAGTTTGACCCTTTAAGTAAGGAGCGGATACCACCAATAGGCAACCAGTTTCAGCCTTGACATATTTTAGAGATTACCAACCAATGAGAATCACCTTTTTTTTAGGAAAATAACTGAAAAATACAAGCATAAAACAAGATTAAAATTGATTATTTAAATCAAGGTTTTAAGCTAAAGCTGTTCAGATTGCATACATGGAGAAGTAATGATGACCTCTAGTGGTGAACACTTGTCTATTTTCATGGCCGTTGCATCCCAGTGAAGTGACACTCATTGTGGTCAGATGGCTTCTTTAATAAAGCAACAATATGGGGATAAGGGGGTGGTAATCGAAAAGGTTATACTTAAATAAAATCAAACAATTTTCATTAAATAAATCCTGTATCCTCAGGTATTTAAATGAGAGGTCTGTATTAGCTCCTATTATAAACTGTTTAGGTAGGGATAAAACTGGAAAAACCCACACCAGTAGTGGCTGAGAGTGAACACTAGGTTTTTAATCACTTAGGACACAGTGCTGTTTCTAGAGGACGGGTAGGGGATCTTTATGCTACTGTAGAATTTTTTCTGTCCAATGCGAGTATGCAGAAACTTGACCCCACCAAGCAAGCCCACCTGGTTGGAGTGGCATAGGCCTGCTTTTTGCTTCCCGGTCCTACTCCCTGGACATGGAGGTTGGCTGGGATATAAAGGGATGAGATTCCTGTTACATGGCACTGATCCACTGAGTAGGGCTCCCACCACTAAGGTGCAAAGAAATGGGACAACACCGATAAGCCTGAGGCCATCAAACTGGGCAGCTGCCCGTGCGTGGTGAGTTCCCTTATGGACCTCCCTGGACAGACTGCGCCCCCTTATGACTATCCTGGGACAGGCGGCCGGCCGCGTGCCCTGGGGACCCTCACAGCTAGCCCAGGACAGCTGTCTCCAACAGGCACATGCTGGGAAAGCCCAGCCAGGTGGCAGCCCCAACACTGAGCGCACTGCTCTGACTGCAGCGGGGCCCAGGGCAGGGGGCCGAAAGCCATTAAACAAAACGATAAGCCCCGTAAATGATGGAAACCACTTCAAACCCCGGGGGGGGAGGGGGGGCTCCCGCACCCCAGCACCTCTGCCCAGCCTGCACAGCGAGCAGCACGGCTGGGCAGGAGAAGGTGGCCCGGGGAGGGGCTCAGGGGCTTGTAGCGCAGGCCTAGTGGGCCACGCCTGCTTGCAACGTAGGGTGCGGGCAGCGCCCAGAGATGCAGGAAGCTCGTGAGGGAGCCGCACTCACCTCGCTCTGGGACAGTAACGGCGGCAGCGCACCGCGCGCTGCGTTTGGAACCTTATGGACGCTGTAGCCCCGGTGCATGTTGGGCCTTGTAGTCTTAGTGAGCCCAGGTGCATGCCGGGCTTCGGAGTCCCTACGGCCCTGCGTTCTGCTATGTGACGCTGCTGGCTGTGGCGAGGGTAGGGGGCGTGGCGCGGCGCGGCGCGAACCCCTGGAGGGCCGGTCCTCGTGCAGGCCGGTGATGAACGGTTAAGCCGACCCCTTCCTGCGTCTCCCTGCTTGCCGGCCGGCGAGAGGGTTCCGAGGCGGAGTTCGCTTTCCTCGCGCCCATCCCGGCTCCCGGAGCAGCCGGGGGAAATGCCCGAAGCCACCCGGCTCGAAGCCAGCAGCGGGGACGAGGCCGAGAGCCCCATGGAGAGCGGGCCCGCCCCGGAGAGCAGCCGCAGGAGGAGGCACAAGGTACCGGCGCCTTTTGCGTTGTCAGGCTGCGTGCGACAGGGTCCCGGCGGCTCTCTGGGCAGGCGGCCCCGGCCCGTGCTGTGCGGCTCTCGGCTCGGGCGCGCGGCGAGGGCCAGCTTCGCCGGGGCTGCCAGCCTGCCGTGGGGCCGGACTCGTGGGGCGCAGCCTGGCCAGGTTGTGCGGGGCGGGGCGGCCAGTGCTGTCCCTGCTCGGCGTCCCCAGCCTCGCGCTCGCCTGGCGGGGTGGCGGCGCCTCTTGCCCGGGGGGATCGCTGGGGCGTCGGTGGGGCAGCGTTCCCTCCACAGCCCGCTTGTTTCTGTTACCCTGTGGCCGTGCCCCAGGTGGCCGGTCCCTCCCGGGCCCCTCCGGCGCTGGTCCCGGCTGCTTTTCCCATGCTCGCTCTCTTCTCCTTGTTTCTCTTGCTCTTTTCCACGTAACTTTCCCTTAGCAGTGTTGCTGTGTTAACACCTTTAGTTTTTGGTGTTACACCCAGGCAGTGTTTCCGTGTGCTGGCATTGTTGTGCAGGAATCGGGACTTGCATTGCACAGCGATGCCTAGAAGCACTAGGACAGTAGAGCCGGATTTAGGGTAAAAATCACATTTTGTCCCTTCATTTTGTATTCTCCTCTGAAAAAAACAAAACTGTGCTGAGGTATGAATCCTGTAGTCTGTTTCGTGACAGATTCTCCTAGGGTTTCTTACTTCTCATATTTTGGTACTGTTTACTGCCAGAAACAGTAGACCAAAGTCAAGTCTGATATGGTAACCCTATGTTTGTACTTCACAACAGAGTATATGCTCACCTTTTTAAAAGGGATGAAGTATTTTATAGTATCTGTTACAAGTAATCTAAAAAAGAGGGTAAAATTTTAGGATTAAACCATGATACTGATCTCTCTGAAGTTCTTTAATGGGTTGCAAACTACTTTGTAAAAAAACATCACAGGTGTATTATGGTTTGAGTTCCAAATGAATGGAAAGTGTAAATTCTTTGCAAATAAAGTCAGAGAAATGCATGATGGGATTCCCCCCCATAACCTGAATGAGTCTGTTTTCATACATACCCGTATGCAAAAGCTGCCTTTGATTTTAACTAATATGAAAACAAGTTTTTACAGATGGATAGAGAGTAACCAATTCCTTTCATTCTTGGAACAATTACATGTTTTTACAATTTCACAAAGCCTTGGGATGGTATGAAAATCTGCAGTTTTATTTTAATTGTGGTTTCTTTATTACTTAATAGAAAGATAAAAAAGAGAGAGAGTCTAAACACCATGATAAATCCAAGAAGAGGAAATCCCGAACAGAGGAAAATGGGCTGTCTGAAGATGACCTTGAACCTCCCAAACTCAAAAAGATGAAGGAGAGAGAGAGAGCAAATGGAGATACTGGGGAAAGAAGCCCAGAGCACAAGAAGAAATCTTCCTCCCTAAGTAATGGAGTCACCCCCACAAAAACACAGTGTAATTTCAGTGAAGCATCAAGTGGAGAGTGTGACAGCGAACCAGAGCAGGTGCAGCTAGACACTGGGTTTTGCTACAGTTAGGTTTAGCTCCTGTATTACAACATGGCTGAGTTTGGAGGAAATTCTCTCTCATAGATTTATTTTTCAACATTTGTTTTTGTGTAACCAATGTAAAGGATATTTAGCTTTTACTTAAATTACAACTCGGGCAGCTGCAAAACTTGAAATGTCTGAATGCTCAAGTTTTGTATTGCAGCGTCATATGTCACAGGAAATCTATTGGTTTAAAATTGCATAGTAATAAGACGTTAAATATGCTGCTTGAAGCAGGACTTCATTTCAAGTTAATGACACACTAACACGGCTTCCTGACTGAGGCAGTTCAGTGCTGTGGGTAAAAATTGCAGTCAGGTAGTACTTTAAGATTCTGTATGTAGATTCATTCGATATGGATGCAGTTGCCAGGAGTCTATTTTAATTGATCTATCTTGAATATAATTAATGTTTACAATAAAGTAACCTTGAGTTGATTCTAGCTGAAAACTACTGTATATATGTATATGCTCTGCTCTAAATGTTTGTGCTTGACTTAGTCCTCCAAAATCCCATGAGAAGAACTAGACTGATTTTAAAAACGAAAAATCTTTACTGCAGATTAGTTCCCCAAATTTACCCAACCATAACAAGAGTTTGTGCTTCTAAATGTAATGTGCTTATTGCTGAAAACCTTCTTTTGGAAGGGTGGAGAGAAGCAGTAACTTCCATGTTTTTTTCTGTTGTTTCTTTATAGTTTGTTTTTCCTTGCTTGAGCCCCATTTGATGTGAAGTAGCAATAAGGTTAGTGCTCATTAGTCCTCTTGTGGAGAGAGACTGAACCTTCACAGAAAAATAGGCTTGTGACGTTTTACTTGGTACCCCTCGCAGAGCCCTGAAGTCCCCCGTCCTAGCTTTCCTCAGAATTCTGTGTTGTAGCCACTACATCATCAAAACTGTATTAAAATGGCATCATAATCTGTGGAAGGCATTGATATTAGTGAAATGTGGTTCATGTGCTTAAGGTTTGAAACTAATGCCTTAGCACTGCACCAGTGGTACGCTAATCCAGGGAGTAAGAGATGGCGTGGAATCAAACCTGACTTTTGCTTATTCCGGTACAAATCACTAGCACCGGGCCACCAGTAACTTTGTTTTTAAAAATAAACATCCCTGAATTAAACTGAACAAGTACTGGAAGCCCTAGTTACGTGTAACTTGCATCCATTGAATTTGTAGTGGTTACAACACAGAATTCGGAGGAAAGAAAGCTAGGATGGGGACTTCAGGGCTCTGTGAGGGGCACCAAGTAAAACTTCACAAGCCTATTTTTCTGTGAAGGTTCAGTCCCCCTCCACAAGAGGACGAATGAGCGCCAACCTTGCTATTTCACGTGCATTAGATAGAGAAGATGTGACTTCCTAATGTAAGTTTTAAATCCATTACATGGAGGTCACACAAGGCAGTGGTGTTCAGTAGTTAGAACAAGAGGTTGGATTTCAGGACCTTGCATTGTGGTCCTGAGCCTGCTACTGAAAAGCTGACCTTGGGACAAGTTATTTAACCCTTTCTGCCTTAATTTTCTTACCTCTGAAATGCTCAAGACTTATGTGCAAAGTATTATTTTTACCTAACAGGAACTGACTGCAGAGCAGAAGGAAGGTGCTTTCTCCAATTTTTGTATTTCCAAAGAAACTATTGAGCTTCTTCGAGGTAACTTTCTTGTCATAATAGTTTAATAGTAAAACTGACAGAACAGAAGCATCTTTAATTCTGTTTGTTGATTGTGAGGAAAAAGTAGTAATAACCAGGAAATATGATGTGTCCCCTACCCTTATGTATGCAAACGCTGTTGTCGCACTTCTGGTGGTACCCAAATGGCATGTTATCCACATATGTTGTCCCAGTCAGCCCAGCCTTTATGCTAGAACTTTAACTAACATAAACCCAATATCAAGATACTGTGGCTTAAAATTACTTTATTCCATTTACAGAATAAGAATTAATTCCACTGAAATTGAACTAAAAGTTCTTACTTCAATACTAATGAACAAATTTATAACACAATATTTGTATGTAATATTATAACAAGATCAAGTAATTCATAAACTACTGGTTTAAATCAAGCAGTACTCAAGAGATTGAAGAAATGGGTGGAGAGTAGTGCATACATAGGGCAGCATAATTCTTCTCTGGTGGGAAAGTTGCTGGGTAGGAACAGAATAATCAGTATCTCTGGGAAGGCAGTGTTAGCAAATTGGGTGAAGTGAGTCCAAGAGCCTTACTGAACTGGATTCTGAGACTAAGTAAACTAGAGAAAGTGTGCTAGTCCTGCTTTTTCTGGGGATGGTGTCTAGTCTGCTTGTGGTGATCTGCCATGTTCAAGTTTATACACCTCAAGCACCAAACATAATGTACTTATCAGCTCACTGGACCTTTTAACAAAGTCTTATTCGACTGTCTCACAGCTCGAGGTGTAACGTACCTGTTTCCTGTGCAAGTAAAAACCTTCAAGCACATATATGATGGCAAAGATGTTGTAGCTCAAGCTCGAACTGGAACGGGGAAAACGTTCTCTTTTGCCATTCCCTTGATTGAAAAGCTTCAGGGAGAAATGCAGGCGAGGAAGAGAGGCCGCACGCCAAAGGTAAATAAATGATGCAATAGTGAACAAATTCTGATGTCACATTTACCGTATTTTTGTCAGAGTGGTTCAGGTTTTTAGTCGTCGGTGAAAAAGTATTCTTAAAGTATGTGCCCATGTAGATTTTGCTGTAGGTGTGCATGTGCCTGAGGTCCTGTCTCTTGAACAGCAGTGTCAGTTGGGGCCACACATGCCACCTCATGCTCAAGTAGGAGGGGGTAAAGGGTGGAGTGGCTGCAACCATTCTTCAGTTATTCAAGCAATTGCACATGGGCATTCTACTCTTGAGGTGTGTTTTTACCTCGAGCACTGTGCCACAAGTACTCCTTTTCTTGTTGTCAGAATGTTTCCCTTAGTAGTAACCAACAGCGCAGCTCAAGCACTCTCCGCTGCCCCCTGCCACTGTGTGCAGGTATAAAGGGCAAAGCTGCATCTGGCGTCCTGAGTTCCTTCTTACTGCCATTGACAGTTGTTGGAATTTGTCTTGCTTCAGCAGGCTCTTTCAGCATCTAGTTGTATATAAATTCCTAGTCTTGGTTAGTAATAACATTTCGTTTATTAAAGTTAGTTTCTCAGGTCGCCAATTTCGGGGTTCCATTTGTCGGTACTGAGGAATGCCTTAGTGACAGGGCTTCAAGCCCTATATTTCATCTAAACTGATGCCCATGCGTTATCCACATTCTAGTTGTTCAAAGGTGTCTGGCTGAGTCTCGCATTAGTGATTGGTGTGAGACTTGTAATGATTTCAAACTGAGGACCAAGAAAGTTAGAGAGGTCAGGCTAAAGTTTCTTTTGATGGAGACCACCTTCAGAGCCGCCTTGGTTGGAAAGAGTGTTCAGCACTTGGGCTTCTGTGAGAAGTGCACGTCCGATGTTGGTTGAGTCCTGGCACCGCTCATCCTCTCTGGTGCACAGAAAGAATCATAGGAGTTCCAAGAAGAGGAAGACAAGCTTTCCCACCAACTCCCACTTGGTGTCTTAATTTTGGGTGAATGAACTGAAATGAAGAAAATATTCTCTTTGCACCTGCAGAAGTGACTACTGCTGTCAAAAGTTGGTTTAGCGCTTCAACAAATTGCAATTCCAGGTGCTTAGCAGTGACTTCCACCAGTTCAGTGGTTTGACTTTCTTCAGAAATTCAGCAGCAAATATGTACTGCTTGAATATTTTTTAATTTAAAATATTTTAATAGATTGTATTAAGTTTAGGTCTTAACACAGGTTGTCATTGCTGTACTTTTCTATGTGAGGTAGCAGTGTCCTTTACAAGCATGTAAAATGACCATTTGTGATTTGATGAGGCCATAGGAATCTTGAACTGTGCTTAAATGCCATTTCTTTAAACCTGCAACAATTACAATAGAGGTGTGTCAAGGTTCCTCCCCCACTCTGAACTCTAGGGTACAGATGTGGGGACCTGCATGAAAACCCTCCTAAGCTTATCTTTACCAGCTTAGGTCAAAACTTCCCCAAGGTACAAAATATTACACCCGTTATCCTTGGAATGGCCGCTACCACCACCAAACTAATACTGGTTACTGGGGAAGAGCTGTTTGGACGCGTCTTTCCCCCCAAAATACTTCCCAAAACCTTGCACCCCACTTCCTGGACAAGGTTTGGTAAAAAGCCTCACCAATTTGTCTAGGTGACTACACACCCAGACCCTTGGATCTTAAGAACAATGAACAATCCTCCCAACACTTGCACCCCCCCTCTCCTGGGAAATGTTGGATAAAAAGCCTCACCAATTTGCATAGGTGACCACAGACCCAAACCCTTGGATCTGAGAACAATGAAAAAGCATTCAGTTTTTTACAAGAAGACTTTTAATAAAAAATAGAAGTAAATAGAAATAAAGAAATCCCCCCTGTAAAATCAGGATGGTAGATATCTTACAGGGTAATTAGATTCCAAAACATAGAGAACCCCTCTAGGCAAAACCTTAAGTTACAAAAAAGATACACAGACAGAAATAGTTATTCTATTCAGCACAATGCTTTTCTCAGCCATTTAAAGAAATCATAATCTAACACATACCTAGCTAGATTACTTACTAAAAGTTCTAAGACTCCATTCCTGTTCTGTCCCTGGCAAGAAGCAGCATACAGACAGACACAGACCCTTTGTTCCTCTCCCTCCTCCCAGCTTTTGAAAGTATCTTGTCTCCTCATTGGTCATTTTGGTCAGGTGCCAGCGAGGTTACCTTTAGCTTCTTAACCCTTTACAGGTGAGAGGAGCTTTCCCCTGGCCAGGAGGGATTTCAAAGGGGTTTACCCTTCCCTTTATATTTATGACAAGGTGTAAATATACCGACCTAAATGGAAAACCTCTGTGGCTTCTTGACAGACTCCAAGTGAAGGAACATCTATTTTTAACTCTTTCTTCCTTCTGTGTAGGTGTTAGTTCTTACTCCAACTAGAGAGTTGGCAAACCAGGTAGCCAAAGACTTCAAGGACATCACAAAGACACTCTCAGTGGCTTGTTTTTATGGAGGAACGGCATACAATGGACAAAGTAAGTAAGGCTTCTGTTTAATGATTGATCTGGGATTGATTGGTAACATTTGAAACACTGTTCTCTCTCCAAATAAATAATTTTAATCAGAAACTGAAGACTCTTAAAGACACTAAGTAGCCTACTCTGTCCATCTGTGCTAGGAAAACAAGAGGATCCTTAGTAAAACACATAGCTGCCTTCCTTATTCCAGGGGTCTTGGACCTTTTCCAGATTGACTTAGGTGTTTGAGAGAGAGGAGGACATTTCCTGCTATGTGTATATGAAAACGTAGTTGGTCCTGTTTCTTGTAAATAACCTTTGTCTTACAAACATCAGCAAAGTAAATCTCAAAGTGCAAGATGTTAAGTCTTAAAGCTGTCAGTGGAGATGGCATCTTTGCAAGTAGCTGGATCTCTTATGAGAGGATCCTTACATCCAGGAGGATGGAGGAAAAATTCTATATTATGGTAATATTAGTTTTTTATGGATGGTTGTGAATGGATAACTAGGGTGGAAAGAAGACACTTCATTGTTAATGGATTATGCATCATGGGCATAGCTATTGGGTTTGGCAGAGAGGGAGGAGGAATCCTGTTTTTCTGTAGGATTTCAGGAAAGGGGGTGGGTTAAGTGACATTGACAGCAGCGTGAAGAAAAAATATTTCACAATGCTGAGACCATTGTGTTTCCTGTCTATCCTTTTGTCAGTTTTTTTTCATTCCCCTTCTCTTCTATTTGGGAAATGAACTCTGACATAAGACTTCAGTATTTCTCAGCTGTATAAATTTTCTGATCTTTGTTCAACTAGAACATTTATCAATGCAGTATTGCCAAAATAGTGAAAGTGATCCTGTACTTGTAAGCTGCTGCCATTTTCTAAACTCTTCTGCTCTTACATGTATCTTTACTAATTTTTCTTTCAGTTGATCTAATTCGAAGTGGCATTGACATCTTGGTTGGGACCCCAGGTCGAATCAAAGACCACCTTCAGAATGGCAAGCTGGATCTTTCCAAACTCAAGCATGTTGTCCTGGATGAAGTTGACCAGATGTTGGACATGGGCTTTGCTGAACAAGTGGAGGACATTTTACGAGTTGCGTACAAGAAGGGTAAATTCAGAATTTAAGTGAATAGTAAGGAATATCATTACTAATTAGATCACTAAAACCCAGGTGGTTGCATATGGTGTTATAAAACCTGTAAATCAACTATCTTGTGACAAGATTAGTGGCAGTGAAAACAAATGAGTTCTGTGGAAACCTACTTGGGATGTCTCTAGGTTGTGTACTATAGATCTGGAAATCATTCTTAGAATCTTCAGAACCTATAAGATGCCACACTCCAGGCATGGTCCAAGTCCATCTGCCAATGGCAGGTAGATAACTTTCCCTGGCACTTATCTATAGGCTGAAATAGAAAGTTGGAGCTCCTAAGCAGTGTCAATGGAAGCTCCCTACTCTAACCCTTCTCAGCATGTTAATGGGGTCTGGACCTCTCATCAGGCTAGTATTTAATCTTGAAGATAAACTCTTCCTCTTTTTGAATCGTTTTTTTTCTCCCTGTATCTGTAATTGATCTGGGATTAGGATTATCAAGCTATCTGGAGTGGCTCACAAACATGGGTGCCAATGTCAAGGCAGACTTACAAACCAGGGCATAAACTGGTTTTGTTCTATAATTAGATTTCACCAACCTAGTGTCAAATGTGAACTCTTCGAGTGCTATATAACAGCATTAGCATGGAGTCACAGACTGTTCCCTTGGGCACTCTGGTGTATCTTGCCATCCAGGTAAGCCTGCCTTTTAATAGATGGTCCCTTACACCAAAAATCACAACAATTTTCAGGTTACTCCCAGTCCTAAAGGACCAGTTACTCACTTACCCTAGATCAATTTTACCCTGGATATCTCAAAAAAGATGACACTTGTAGCCAATCTTGTAATAGACTAACTAAAGATTTATTAATTCCTACTACTTTTTCTTAGTTGTTTATATGATTAAAGTAAGTAAACATACACACAAATTAATTAAAGCCTTAGGTTTCAAAAAGTAATAGAAGCTGCTGTAATGTACTGCCTCTACATGCCTTTTAGGGCTAACCCAAGCTAAGTAGCTTGTGGATCCCTTGATTATACTTAAAATATTGCCCTCTCCAAATTCCAAGCAGCATAATAATACAGTTCCTTCTGGTCAGGGATTTTTATTTCTATACCCCCAAAGTTCAAACTGATGGGAAGAGGGTGTGATGGGTTGCACCCGCCCCCCTTTCAGGGTGTCACCTGATGTACTGGGTTTTCAGTGGACCCACCTGTTCCACCAGCTTGGGCTCCCTCACCTTGTCCTGTTGTGTGTGCATGCATGCGTGTGTGCACGCGCGCACACACACACACAGGTAGGGACATACCCAGCTGCAGAATGACACCAATACTGAAATCAGTGCTGCATGGGAAGTCTTTCGGGTAGGGAATTGCCCAGCACTCAAGTGCACAACCCCTCTGGAAAATAAACCCAAAATTATATTGTCTTGCACTGTTTAGAGATCTATACAGCGTAAGCTCATGAAATTCGCTCCCTCCCTCAATGTGGAGAAAGATATGCACAGCTTTCCTCGTCCCCTCCGCCTCCCAGTTATGAATTGCACAAAATGTGTTTTAGAATAAACAAAAACAGGTTTATTAACTACAAAAGATTTTAAGTGATTATAAGGGATAGTAAACAAATGAAAGCAGATTACTGAGCAAATAAAACAAAACGCGCAACCTAAACTTAATACGCTAAATTAACTGGTTAATAGTAGCAAATTCTGACCCTAAATGTTGTTTTATGCAGGTTGCAGAGTTTCTTGAAGGTAAACTGCACTGGTTGCAGCTTAAATCTCCAGGTATTCCTTTCACAGGCTAGACTTTCTCGCCTAGGCTCAGCCCCTGTTTCTCCCCCACCCCCCTTCAGCTTAGTTCCTTTGTTTCTTCAGGTTTTTTCAGTAGTCTTCCTTCTTGGGTAGGGAGGCAGTGGAGAAGAACCTAGATTAACTCACTCCCCAGCCTTAAATAGGATTTGAATATGGCAGGATTCCTTTGTTTTCCAGTTTGACTCCCACCCCCTCCTAGTGAAAAAGTACTAGCAGTCCAAAATGGTTTCCAGTAGCAGGGGACATGATCACATGACCTTGCAGTGTCAAAGCAGCATTCCAGGAGACTTCTCAGGAAGGAGGGAGATTAACATCTTCAAAGTCCTATTGTCCTTCCTAATGGCCCATCGGACTGATTGCATACTGTCTGTGGGCATTCTCCAAGTGTAAACACAGTTGTAATTGTTACATAGTTAATATTCCTAACTTCAGATAAAGAAATTATACATGCATACAAATAGGATAATCATATTCAGTAAATCATAACCTTTCCAATGATGCCTCATATGACCCATCTTACATAAAACATTGTGACGTTCCCATCTGGTGTTATCCTGACAGGTGATCTGCTATCCTTGACTCTGGGAGCCAGCCTTACCCTGCTCTGCTGTGAGAATCCCCAGTCCTGGGCTGTTCACGCACAGCCTCTAGCCTGTAAGATGCTCCTTGAATTGTGCAACTGAATGACACTAGCCAATATCTCCGGTCCCAGGCACAACCCTAGGAACCTCTATTTGGCAGCGTCCAATTTTGCCCGCTGGATGCTGCAAGCTTATGAGAGTTTGTTGGTTTAACAAAGAATTGATACGTACCAGGCTTCTTATCCCAAGGGGAGCCTCTGACACACTTCAGACCAAATGCACTGCTTCAGGTAGAATAAACAAACAGATTTATTAACTACAAAGATAAACTTTTAAGTGATTATAAGTCAAAGCATAACAAGTCAGATGTGGTCAAATGAAATAAAAGCAAAATGCATTCTAAGCTGATCTTAACACTTTCAGTGTCCTTACAAACTTAGACGCTTCTCACCACAGGCTGGCTGGTTGCTCTTCAGCCAGGCTCTCCCCCTTGATCAGTGCTTCAATCGCTTTGTATGGTGTCTCTCGATGTAGGTGGAAGAGAGAGAGAGCATGGCAAATCTCTCCCTTTTATCGTGTCCTTTCTTCCCCCTTGGCTTTGCCCCTGTGTCCCCTTCAGAGTGGTGAGCATTACCTCATTGCAGTCCCAAACTGACCAAAGGAAAGGAGGTGACTCACTCAGTCCAACAGATGCTTTTTTTGCTGCCTAGGCCAGCGTCCTTTGCTCCTATGAGGCTGGGCTGGGTTTCTCCCATACCTGCCCTGATGAGGTGTGAACTGCCTCTCTGCTCTTGGAGAGTTTTTGTCTGGGCTTGCTTTAAGCCATGAGGATACATTTTCAGCCTCATAACTATATACATGAAATTATAACCTATAACGTTACTATAACAACAGTGTTCAGTGCATCATGAGCCTTCTGAAGACACCCGACATGACAAACTTTGCATTGGATACCACACAATCATATTATAAGGATGAATATGGGGGTGCAGGGTATTCCCTTGAAGCACAGAGTGTCACAAACATATCTTAAAAAGAAAAGGAGGACTTGTGGCATCTTAGAGACTAACAAATTTGAGCATAAGCTTTCGTGAGCTACAGCTCACTTCATCGGATGCATTCAGTGGAAAATAAGTGGGGGGATTTATATAGACAGAGAACACGAAACAATGGGTGTTACCATACACACTGTAACGAGAGTGGTCAGGTAAGGTGAGCTATTACCAGCAGGAGAGCAGGGTGGAAAACCTTTTGTAGTGATAATCAAGGTGGACCATTTCCAGCAGTTGACAAGAACGTCTGAGGAACAGCCAGGGTGGGAATAAACATGGGGAAAACAGTTTTACTTCGTGTAATGACCCATCCACTCCCAGTCTTTATTCAAGCCTAAATTAATTGTATCCAGTTTGAAAATTAATTCCAATTCAGCAGTCTCTCATTGGAGTCTGTTTTTGAAGTTTTTTTGTTGAAGAATTGCCACTTTTAGGTCTGTAATCGAGTGACCAAAGAGATTGAAGTGTTCTCCGACTGGTTTTTGAATTAATTGGAATTAATTTGCAAACTGGATACAATTAACTTAGGCTTGAATAAAGACTGGGAGTGGATGGGTCATTACACGAAGTAAAACTGTTTTCCCCATGTTTATTCCCACCCTGGCTGTTCCTCAGACGTTCTTGTCAACTGCTGGAAATGGCCCACCTTGATTATCACTACAAAAGGTTTTCTCCCCTGCTCTCCTACTGGTAATAGCTCACCTTACCTGATCCCTCTGGTTATAGTGTGTATGGTAACACCCACTGTTTCATGTTCTGTGTATATAAATCTCCCCACTGTATTTTCCACTGCATGCATCCGAGGAAGTGAGCTGTAGCTCACAAAAGCTTATGCTCAAATAAATTTGTTAGTCTCTAAGGTGCCACAAGTCCTCTTTTTTTCTTTTTGCGAATACAGACTAACGCAGCTGCTACTCTGAAACATATCTTAGTTATGCCATATTCATATCATAAGCATATCTTTATGAAGAATATGGGCCGTAGTGGTCACAGAGGGTTTGTGCACATCCCCTCTTCATGGATGTGTGGGGGAGCAATCAACAAAATCTTTTGTCCACTGATGTTACACAATGGTTTGTCTAAGTCTTAGTAGGCATTTTTTGGGCAGATGATGACACCTCTTGTGGTAAACTAGTATTTCACACTTGGTAATGCTTCTCTTCTGACTGAGGGAGATTGGGGGGTTTCTAGTTTCATAGCAAACACTTTTATAGTTACAAAGCAAACACTTAAATATTACCTTTATAACAGGGGTGGCCAAACTGGCTCGTGAGCCACATGTGACTCTTTTACCATAAAGTGTGGCTCACGGAGCCTCCCACTCTTCCCTGGTTCTCCATCTGCCAGACTGGGTCGGGGAGCTCGGGACCTCTGCCTTGCAGTGAGGTGGTGGGGTAGGGGTTTCTGCCCAGTGGGGAGGAGGGTCTTGGGGCTTCAGCCCCATGGGGTGCACCTATTGTAGCTTGGGGCTTCAGCAGGAGCAGTATGGGGCAAGTGTGCCTTGGCTCTTGAACTTCTGAAGATTGTTATATGCAGCTTGGAGGGTCAGTAAGTTTGGCCACTGCGTCTTATAAAATCATAACAGATATAAGTGAGATTAATGCATGCAACAACTCACGAGCATTTCATAAAGTCCAAACACGTTCTTATCAACTTAACATCTATTTTAACAGGTGAGCCAGACTGATTTCCAGTTACACATTTGTCAGTGTTCAGTGAGGTCTTGGCATGAGCAGGCACCTAGACTGCCAGTGTCACAAACATTACTTTTGTCTTGTGTGAGTGGCAGAGCAGCTTTCTGAATGGTACTAGTAGTTGGATGTTGCTAAAGGTGTGTTTTTTTTTGTTTTTTTTTTTTTAAACTTAAAGGAAAAAGTGGTGCTAATGATTTATGGATTGGTCTGGTGGCCTGGTAAGCTATAGTCTGCATAAATACATGGAGTTTTTACCTCCCTTCTTGAACAGGACAGCTGCACGCTTACTATGAGGGTGGAGGCAAAAACACCTTAAGTTGCTCAAAAGAAAGACCCTCTTCTACTTTACTGACATGGATCAGTGTTAACACCCAAGGGAGGTACATTTTAACTCTACTCATCTGGAAGTTGACTCAAAACTGAGCACTTTTCCAGAATGTTTGGGAAAAGAGTACAGTAGCTTAGAGTACCTCTTATCATGAAGACAACACAAATATAATGTCCATATTTCATATAGCTGAGGCTATCACAAGAGTACATCAGGCAAATTTGGCCTGAATCAATATGCCACTTTCATGATCTTGGTATCTAAAATCCTAAACAGATTGTTCTGTTTTTAAGATTCTGAAGACAATCCCCAGACATTGTTGTTTTCTGCAACTTGCCCACATTGGGTATATGATGTGGCTAAGAAATACATGAAATCCAGATACGAACAGGTTGACCTCATCGGGAAGAGGACTCAAAAAGCTGCTGTGACTGTAGAAGTAAGTAACTTGGCTAGTGTGGCATATTTTTATTTCCCTTTTCCTTTTTTCCATGTTGTGTATATTTTATTGTGGTATTAATTTGAAAATACATCACAAATATATCTTTTTTTCTTGGTATAACTTGGAAAGATAGTTTTGAAATGTAATACTCTTTTGGTACAGAAGTTGTTACAGCTACTCAAACTGTTTTTTATAAATGTGGAATGTCTATATTTTTCCTCCTGAAATAGCTGGTGATCTTACTCATGACTAAAGCAAAGTTAGTTATTGAACACCATTCTCTTTGTTGTTACTTTGGCTGTTTCTGGTCTTAGCATGTACCTTTACTTTTAACCCCCGCCCTCCACCCTTAGAAGCAGTAGGCTTTTTATTAATTTAGAAATCACCTAGTCTTCTGGCTGGAAGTATCTGCTTTCATAGTGCCACTTCAAACACTGCAAGGTGTGCCACCATATTGAAGACACTCTTTGATATGCATTCCAATACCACAGTGCTGGACACAGTATAAACACTTAAATATTTAAAAACACAAACTAGTTAAAATGTTCTTTACCTGACGAAGTAGACACTTCCATTTAAACAGTTTTAGGATAAACTTATTTTTGACTGGTCAGTAGGGCACCATATGGTTACTTCAGTAGGACTGAAAAATGCCAAAATCCATTGTCACAAAGAATTGACTTTAATTAAACCATTATCTTCAAAATATGGATTGTTTTCATGTAACGTTCCATAAAGCTCTAGTAAATATCTATATCTATATAAAAAAAATTAAAAATGGGGGGAGGAATTCTGTATACCTGACTCTACTTTGTGGAACTTTGTTAGTTTCTCTCTATGTGGGGAAACTTGTTTGCAACATATCTAATTTTTCATCCTACGACCACACCTTTTTCGGTTAATCATGGTGGGCAAAAAAGATCCATGCATATGATTGCTTTGACATATTTTAATAGTATGTCTAATCTAATTCTGTCTAATCCAAACACGTTCCTCGAAGGATAACATCTTTGTACTTCTATTGAAGTCTACATTTTCAAATATATACTAAATATTTTTAAAACCTGACTTTATTTAAGGTTTTTTATGCCAGTTATAAATGGTAAAATATTTCTTCAACAGCATTTGGCTATAGAGTGTCACTGGTCTCAAAGGGCAGCAGTTATTGGCGATGTCATTCAGGTTTACAGTGGCAGTCATGGACGGACCATAGTCTTTTGTGAGACCAAAAAGGAGGCAAATGAACTGGCCCTGAATGCTTCTATTAAACAGGTATGCTGTCTTAGTTATTTTGCAAGATAGTCTGTTGTTTATCAACATGGGGCTGGCATCAAATCTGCAAGAGTGTAACATTCTTTCTATGGGGACAAGGCAAACTTGGGCTGGAGGTAGCTGAACTATCATGTGGTTTCAGAATTTTGATATAACTACCAAGATCAGCCCAGAGCCTACAGCAGGGATAGGCAAACTATGGCCTGCAGGCCAGAGCCAGCCTGTAAGCCGTTTTAAGCCGGCCCTCGAGCTGCACCACGCGGGTTGGCCCTGTTCTGGCTGGGGTGCTGGCTCGGCGGCCGCACCAACGGCTCGGCCCTGCTATGGTGCTCCAGCCGGGGTGCTGGGTTGGGGGCTGCACCAGCAGCTGGGCCCTGTTCCGGCCGGGGTGTTCGGCCCCACTCTGGCACTCCAATGGGAGCTGCAGGGGTGGTGTCTGCGGACAGGGCAGCGTGCAGAGCTGCCTGGCCACATCTCCGCACAGGAGCTGGAGAAAGGACATGCCACTGCTTCTGGGAGCCGCTTGAGGTGAGTGCTGCTCAGAGCCTGCACCCCTGAGCCTCTCCCCATGCCCCAGCACCTTGCCCCAGCCCTGATCCCCCTCCTGCTCTCCAAACCCATCAATCCCAGCCTGGAGCACCCTCCTGCACCCCAAACCTCTAAGCCCCACCCCAGAGCCGGAGCCTGCACCCCTTCCCCAGCCCTGATCCCCCTGCCGCCCTCCAAACCCTTTGGTCCCAGCCCAGAGCACCCTCCTACACCCCAAACTCCTCATCCCCAGCCCCATCCAAGAGCCTGCACCCCAACCCCAATTTTGTGAGCATTTGTGAGACTTTCAGTACAAACCTTACGTGACAGTCCTTGGTGAACTAGAATGTAAATACCAGACCCAGGGGTCCTTCTAACCCTTATGCGTCCCTGTACCCTCTACCAGCTGGCATCAAGAGGTCCTTGAGTCACTGGGTGCATCTGGTGGCTATTTGAGCAATCCAGCCTCGTATAGAGTGAGTGAAATTAATCTTACTATCACAACCAGATTTCTGAAAGGCCTAGATAGATAGGTTCCTGGCAGGTAGAAACAAACTCCTTGAGATTTCAGTTTAGCATTGTCTGCTCTGTTGGACATTCCTTTTGAGCCTTTAGCATTGTGCACGCTTCTACACCTGGTAGGTAGGTTTCTTAGTAGCCATCATTTCTATTAGGAGAGTGGGATAACTGCGTGCATTCGTCACTGATCTGCTATACACACCTTCTACAAGTTTGAGTAACAGCCGTATTAGTCTGTATTCACAAAAAGAAAAGGAGTACTTGTGGCACCTTAGAGACTAACCAATTTATTTTTAAAAAATAAATAAATTGGTTAGTCTCTAAGGTGCCACAAGTACTCCTTTTCTTTTTACCTTCTACAAGGACAAGGTTCAACTTAGACCACATCTAAATTTTTCTTGAAAGTAGTATCTGATTTCCATCTGAATCAGACTAGGTAGCTTCCAGTTTTCTTCCCAAAGCCACATACTCACAAGGATTAGTGAAGGCTTCACCCCCCTGGATGTTCATCGAGATCTGGCTTTTCATTTGGATAGGACACAGCCCTTTTGAGTTTCTTATGCAGTGTATGAAAGTTCAGTCAGTCACAATTCAGACTCTAACCAGCTGCATCTCAGTATTATGTTGTTAGAGGGAGCCTCCTGATGAATTCATGGCATGCCCAACCAGAGCACATTTTGGCCTTGGCAGCAATGGTGGCACATGTCCTGATTATAGGCATATGTAGGGTGGCAAATTGGTCTTCTGTTCATATATTCACCAGATGTTATGTGCTGTCTGCCACATTGAGAGAAGATGCAACTGTAGGGAGAGTGGTCCTGCAGTCAAGTCGCTTTTCCAATGAGACTCCAAGCTCCACTGCCTGGGATAACACTTGGGAGTCACCTACAGTGTAATGGACATATGCAAGTACTTGAATTAAAAAACGTTACCTTGTAACTGTTGTTCAAGATGTCACATGTATCCATTATACAACCCACCCTTCTTCCCTGTATTGGAGTCTACCAATGGCTTCCAGTCTGAAGAAGCTGAAAGAGGAGTAGGGTAGTCCTGCAGGTTATGCTCTGAAGCCAGGGTATGAGGAGCCTGGCAGTGGGTGGGGCTGCCACTATGCATACCAGTAAGGAAAACTGACACTGGTGCACAGGCCATGCACATACGTTCATCTGCAGCACATTTCAGAGAAGATGAGTAACCTCTTCTGTGACAACAATGAAGGTTCTGATGCATCTTTTGGAAGGTGATTTGTAGTCATGGGAGTTACTCTGATGGCAGTTCATAGTGTGGTTAACGTACTATGACACTGAAACCAGTATTCTGTGCTAGTGACTCTCTGGGATGCATCTCTTGTAAGAAATGTCAGTTACTAGGGCAGGGGTGGGCAAACTTTTTGGCCCAAAGGCCACATCTGGGTATGGAAATTGTATGGTGGGCAATGAATACTCACGAACTTGGGGGTTGGAGGGCGGGAGGGCTCTGGCTGGGGCAGGGTGGGCTCTGGGGTGGCGCTGGGGATGAAGGAGGCTGGAACTGAGGGGTTTGGAGGGCAGAAAGGGATCAGGGCAAGGGGGCTGGGGCATGGGAGGGGGTCAGGCTCCAGGCGGCGCTTATCTCGAGCAGGTCCCAGAAACAGTGCCATGTCCTCCCTCCAGCTTCTATACGGAGGCGTGATCAGAGGTTCCCGGCCAATGGGAGCTGCGGGGGCAGCACTTGGGGTGGGGGTGGCGTGCGGAGTCCCCTGGCTGCTTGTATGCGTAGGAGCCAGAGGGGGGCATGTGCCTCCGCTTCTGGAATCCATGCGGAGTGAGGCAAGACTCCGACCCCACTCCCTAGCTGGAGTTCCAGAGCGGGGGAAGCCCCAGACCCTACTTCCTGGTGGGAGCTGGAGGGTCTGATGTGGCCCCTGGGCCGTAGTTTGCCCACTCTGTACTAGGGGTTACTTCTATTTTGTTACATTAGTTATTAATTATAGGGGTTAATTTGTTTTATTACATTCATTATTTATTAGCTGTTTTATGAGGAATTTGAAATAAACTTAATTTAAATCTGTATTGGGGGGTGAAAAAGGGGGGTTCTCAGACTTTCTAGCATCACAGAATAGTGGTTTTCAGCTCTTATTTCTGAGACTCATGCCATGGCACTTGCTAAGTCTGTAGAGAAATAAAGATAGTTGATTTTAGTGCTGATACTAGCATTTGAGATGTGGGAGATAGTGATACATCAGCTAATTGCCCTGACATTAGTGATGAGTGCTGGTATTGCAGTAAATCCCTTGGTCATAAATATCATTTTAGCACAATTCCAATCTGCATGGGATTTATTTTAATAATTGATTCAATCAGATCCATTACTGCATGACTAGAAAGTAGTATGGCATTATACTTTTTGGGGGGAACTGAGAAGCTTTTACCTGCCACCTGTGTTCAGGAGTGTTTTTCTCCTGCACTATTAGATGACCTCACTAACAGCTAAACCTGAGCATGGAGAATTTTCCTGCATTACTGTTGGTGTTAGTGATATCACCTGTTGCATGGGAAATGCAGAACTCTGATCTTGGCAGGTAAGAAAAGAAATTATTTTCAGATGTTTTTGTTTTAGTATCTTAGTATATCAGAGTGCTGGAGAAATACATACCCATACCCTCTACAAAGCAGCAATTACAATCTGAAATGTAATAATTTTTAAAGAATTTAGGTCCTATAGCTGCCCCGAGTCCTTATCCAGTTTGTGGTTGTCATAAATATAAAGAAAAGGGTAGCATAAAATCCCTCCTTGGCAGCTGTACTGAATCGCTTTACCTGTAAGGGGTTAAGTAGCTCGAATCTCTTTTTTGGCACCTGACCAGAGGGACTAATGAGGAAAGAAGATACTTTCAAATGAGGGGCGGGGGAGAGAATTTGTTTGTGGCTCTCTTTGTTTGTTCTCTCTCTGGATGGAGGGAGAAAAGAACAGGTACAAGCATCTCCTCTTGTACCAAGCAGGTACAACATCTCCTGAAAACATACCTGGAATGATCCAGCTAAAATTACAGAAATTGTAACTAAGGCAAGGACCTGCATTAGGTTATCTTTTATTTTTGTTGTGAATTTTCCTATGCTACAAAGATAGTTTTATTCCTGTTTTTGTAACTGTGAAGCTGAGTCCAGAGGGGAGTCCTCTGTGTGTTAAATCTTTTTATTACCCTGTAAAGTTACCTTCCATCCTGATTTTGCAGGTATGATTTTTACTTTTTTCTTTAAACTAAAGCTTGTCTTTTAAGAACCTGATTGATTTTAGTGTGCTAAAGATAAAGGGTCTAGTTTGTACTCACATTGCTAAGGCAATTAGTTGGTATATTATTCTCAAGCCTCCCCAGGAAAGGGGGTGAAGGGGCTAGCGGGGGGATAGGGATTCCAAGTGACCCTCCCCTGAATTTCTGTGTAAATCCCTTGGTGGTGGCAGCAATACTGTCCAAGGACAAGGAAAGGAATTTGTGCCTTGGGGAAGTTTTTAACCTAAGCTGGTAGAATATAAGCTTAGGGGGTCTTTCATGTGGGTCCCCACGTCTGTACCCATAGTTCTGAGTGTGTGTGTGTGGGGGGAAACCCTGACAGTGATTTATAATCCTTTTCTGTTCCTGTGTGAAAGACCAAAAGAAAACTGAAGCTACGTCTATACTTAAACACTGAGGCAGCACAGCATTACAGCTGTGTCACTGTAGTGCTTCAGTGTAGATAGTTACTACAGTGATGAGAGGGTCCTTCGGTCAATGAAGTTAATCTGTCCCCCTAGCTACTAGGTGGTAGCTAGTTTGGTGGAAGAATTCTTCCATTGACCTAGTGCTGTCTGTGTGGGGACTTAATTAAGTTGACTGTTGCTCAGCAGTGTGGATTTTTTCATACCCCTAAGCGATGTAGCTGGATCAGTGTAACTTTCTGGTGTAGACCAGCCCTGACTGGACATAGAATGCTGTCAAGTGTACAAAATAAAGAAACAATATTCTCTAAAATTTCGGTTATGTTAATTTTGGGTGTTTGTAATAGGTAAAGAAACTTTCAGGCAGATGCGTGGGTGTCCAAAAGTTATTTTTATTATTTTAAAACTTTTTTTAGTCACTTTTTAAAATCATTTTTATCCTTTAAGAATTATTTTTGCCCTTCTTTTGAAGGAAGCATATGTTGTGTATCTTTCTAGCAAAAAGCAGCTAAATGACATTGATATAGTGGCACAATAGTGTGAATAGCACTGCATTAGAGGTAGCTTTTGTGTTTTATTTTGGGACGTCAACAAAGTGTTGGATAGGGCACTGGACTGGAAGGTGGGACAGGGTTATAGATCTAGCTCTGACATTGACGCTGTGGCAAGATACTTGTTGCTTCCATTTCCTAATCTGTAAAATGGGAATAATGCTTTCCTACCTTTTTGTAAAGCACTTTGGGCTATAAGTGTAAAAAGCACTGTAGAAAAGCTAAGTATTGACGACATAATTTTTTGCCATGTAAACTAAAATATTTCAGCTTTTCAGTATGCTTTCTATAGCATGGTACCTTTTATATGCTGTCATAATAATCTTGTTTTACAGGATTGCCAGTCGCTGCATGGTGACATTCCTCAGAAACAAAGGGAGATAACATTGAAAGGTTTTAGAAATGGTGTGTTTAAAGTTCTGGTTGCAACTAATGTAGCTGCCCGTGGTTTAGATATCCCTGAAGTTGACCTGGTTGTACAAAGTTCACCACCAAAGGTATGAGATGGGTATGTTGTGTCCCTTTTGTAATATATACAGTAGTCCTCCATTTGTTTTCATGTGATAAAGCAGCATTGAATTGTGGTATTCACCACACACACAGTTGTTGTTTTTGTTGTAAGGAAGCTTATAGTAACCAGAGGTAGTCTCCTGATCAGAATACGACTTATGATGCATCAGTTGTACAGTCTGTGGTACCTTTAGGGGTGTTTCTTTTTAAAATGCCTTCTGATGAGCTCTGGCAAGGCTCTAGCTCTGCTTGATGTATTAATCGTCGAGCCAAGTTAACTAAAATCCTGCTCTCCAAAGCAGTGTATAGCGGTAAATTTGAAAAGAATTTGGAGAGACAGTAGAATGGAATGGCTAGAAAGAGCAACATAATTGGGTGGGAAGAAGAGCCCAGTGGACAGAGAGAGAACTCTGAATGAAGTTAGGGGAATACAGACAAGACCTAGGTTTAGTCAACTTAGCTGGGGACATGCTGACTTCTCATCCTGTACGCTGGGGTAAGTGTGGTATGTGTGGTATTTATCTATATGTGGAGGTGCGCAAGAGCAAATTGAAACCTTTGCTTGAATTCCCTATGATGATAGAAGCATAGTGGCATGTAATTGGCCCAGGCTTGTAACTTAAGCTCTGAGCAATATTTAACCTAGGTTTATGGGGATCTTTTTTACCTAGTTTGACTTTAAAAATTTATTTATTTATTTTTTATTTTTACTTTTTCAGATACATTAGTGTTAGGGGATGTATTGTAATAAATTGTAATTGCTTCCATGGACCTTTGTTTATACACTAACTACAAAAGTAATAATGGTATTTATCTTGAAGGATGTGGAGTCATATATTCATCGTTCTGGGCGCACAGGCCGAGCTGGACGGACTGGGATGTGTATCTGTTTTTATCAGCGAAAGGAAGAAAGTCAGCTAAGACATGTGGAACAAAAAGCAGTACAGTATCTCTTTAGTCATTGTACACTTTATGTATGTAGTGTGTTAGGATAGCTCATAAAATCCTGCAATCCATGCACTATTTGATGATCAGATTGTTATGAAGCAAACGGGGAGCACTACTCTCTAACTGAAGTATAGCTGGTTTCCCTTTTTTTCCTCTTACTGGGTAATCGCTTTGTCCCTGCATGTGTAATTGGTATATGCTGTTCCACATGGTATCTTTCTCTTTGATGATAAACATTTAAATGTTATGCTTTAGTTTCAAGTTTCACAAGACTCTGAGCACTTAGTTTGTCTACATTTCAAAAAACTTGTGTTCTTAATTCAAGTTATCTGGCCTGAATTAGCTAACTTGAGTTTAAATTGCAGTGAAAACACAGCAACTTGGCTTTTAATTGAGGTAGCAGCTTGGGCTCAAGACAATATGAGAGCATGGGGTTGAACACAAGCTGCCAACCCAAGTTAAATGCCAACCTGTTGTGTCTTCACTGAAATTTAAACCCAGGTTTGGCTAACCTGAGTTAGCTTATATAAGTTAAGAACTGACTTTTTTTTTCTTCAGTGCAAACATATCTAACTGAGTTAAGAGTGAAACTCCTGACATAAAGGCTGTGTAATAGCATATACTTCATTAAAGTAAATTTTAAGTTTGATTTGTTTTAATTTACAATTTTGTTTAGAACTGTTCATGAGGAATCTTTTCATGAGGATTTCAAAATAGACAAAGCGAGTAGTTAGAGATGAAATAGGTGATTTTTGTTATCAAAATCAGTCATTATTGACTGGTAAAGAAGTTTATATTTGTGTGTCAGTGCAAGAAACAGTTGGCATTGCCTTTAGTTCTTGCTTGCTGGCAATGTGAGGTGACTGCCTTCCTTAAACAGCTAACAGAACCTGTGATATGTAGCTAAGACTGAAACTTTTTTTTAAATAAAGCTAGAATATGGTGGTAATTATTCTTTTTGCCCTTTTAAAAATAAAAACCCAGCTCTTGAATGCCATTTTTCCTTTAACCGTGTTTAAGTAAAGAGAACATTTGATCACCCTAATAGTGATGGACTTGAGAGTTTTTGAATCAATGCCACTTGATGAAATTATGTTCAAGAGAGGGTACCTGCTCAGTTTAGATTTAACAGAAACACAGATTTTCAAAAGCTTCCAGTGGAAATAGTTTCCTTCTTTTCAAGAAACATAATTTCCCATAGTCACGTTAACCAAACATTGCAGCATCCTTGAAAATGAGTGAAATAGATTAAACTGACTGGAAAAAAGGTGAAATAGACTAGCCAATTTTCATGGGTAAGCTGAGTGAAATGGGGGAAAAAAGCTGTTGAAATATTTTTCACTAAAATACTCATTTTGACAATCTAAATTGTTACTAGTACAGTAGGACATCCTGTCTCTGTAAATATGAATTTTAACCCAACAGTATCCCCTTAATGAGGTTCTAAGCATGTTTAGTCCAAGGAATTCACATAGAAAACTTCAGGGCAGGCTAACCTCTGTGTCAGAGTGCTTTATAGGAAATGTGCACAATATATAGTTTTTTCCGCTTTCGGCAAAGGAAATTTAAGGATAAATGCTTATTGAACTGAATACCAGCCTTAGTTGAATATAATACAGTTCTGAACAGTCTGTAAACTTCCTACTCTTCCATTTTCTCTTAACTGCAGGGAATTACATTTAAGCGTGTAGGTGTTCCTACTGCAACAGATATAATAAAGGCTTCCAGCAAAGATGCCATCAGGTATGTTCAGTGACCCTTGAGCTTGTCATCATGTCATTCTCATTTATAATAATTCTTTGGATTGTCTCTTGCCATACATTTGTCTCCGATGACCATGAAATAAATTGTTCATGGATATCATTGGTTAAGTTTGAGTCTCTTGCAGTTTCTCGTCTATCCCATAGCTCCCAGATTCCACTGTCTAAATTTGCCTTTTGCCAAGTAACGTTTTTGCTTTTAAATACTTAGGTGTTTGGATTCTGTTCCTCAAACTGCCATTGACTATTTCAAAGAGTCAGCTCAGTGGCTAATAGAGGAAAAGGGGGCAGTTGAAGCTCTGGCTGCAGCACTAGCCCATATTTCTGGGGCTACTTCCATTGAACAGCGTTCCTTGCTCAACTCAGATGTGGTAAGAATATTTAGTTTATTTTTTTTTGAAATCTTGGATTTCAAATATCTGAATGTGGTAACTATCTGACCCAATTACAATCCCTTTTCTAATCTTTTATTATGGAAAATACTTTGGTGAGAACTCTGAATCTAGAGATCTTAGATCTTCTGGATTATTGTCATTGTCCTGGTTTTGAACTTGGTTATAGCATTGAAATGTCAGTGGCGGTGTTCCTCCTAGCCATGGATAAAGATCAGATGTCTGCTGGCTTATTAGATATTTTAATTGAGGTGTAGACTTGATTGCAGACACAGGGCTGCCATGAGGTGGCTTCATTCTTTCTTCATAGATCCCAGCATAGTTTTCTGTAACTTCTGCTGCAGAGGTCCCATCTTACTACCTTCCTGTTTGTTGGAGTTAAAGGGTCATGGAAGGGGGCCTGGATGTAAGTGTTTTGAGCACACCTGTGCTCTTTGTTGCTGTCATCTAACCCAGGGGGTGCAGTTAGTGGGTTTTTTTAATATAGTAGTGATTAGGGCCTGGATGAAAGTGAATCTCAATACAGAGAAAACTGAGGTAATCAGAGGTTGGGGGAAGTAACCAGGGGTTATGGTGCAGATTATATTGACCCCCTCTGAGTGACTGGGAAATAAGACAAGTTCACTATGAGGGTCGTCTTACACTTCCAGCTGCTATTACATGAGCCTACAGTAGCAGTGGCTGGGACCATATGGGTCTAATCGGGAGGTTGATGCTTTTACTTGGATGCACATCTTACTACTGATGAGACTGCAGCACTATGCTTTGTAGGGCTACACCTTAAACAACTCAAACTAAGGCTGTCTATACTACAGACTTCTGCTGGCATAGCTGTGTTGGTCAGGGGTGTGAATGGGTGTGATCCCTGACTGACATAGCTGTGCCAGCCAAAGTCCCTAGTGTAAATGCAGCTATACTTGCAAAGCAGGACTTTTACCAGAAAAGCTATGGTACAGAACACAAGTTTGCCAGTATAGCTGTGTCCACATTAGGAGTGTTTTATTGGTATAGCAGTCAAATAAAATGCTGCTAGTATAAACCTAGCCTTAAACTGGGGTAAAACACAGCCACACACTTAAGTGGCTAGCTTGCTGTGAGCACAGTTCTAATGCTCTGGAATCTGCATTGGCTGACTTAGTTTCCAGTTGGAATTTCAGATATTGGTTGTGACCATAAAGCCCTAAATAGCTTGTCTGCCTACTTGGGAACCACCTCTCTCTCTATGCAGTACTACCACAATTGCCATCACCTGATTGAGCTATCCTGGCATTTGAGTCAGCTGCTGGTAGCTGCTGACTGTCCCTTGACTTGGGAGTTCACATCCCTCTTTGGCCCAAAATAGCACAAACTACTTTATCTCTTGGGACATGCTGCAAAACTCACTTGAGTGGACATTTGAGGCTTGCTTGATTCAAGTGTGGAATTATTTGGGGAAATTAAGGCTTTGTGAGAAGGGGATGTTTAGTGGGGTTGTATTGACTCTGTTAAGGTGTGGATCATCTTCTGCTATTTTAATTGGACTGTGTATTTAATTCTGTCAGGGATGCTTTGAGAGTTGCTCACTGAGGTTTATTTTTATTTCAATATAAAATATACAAAAGATATTACTATTGCAGGTTTTTTATGCATAATTGTTCACTTTCCTTGCATTCAGAATCCTCTCTGCATTGCTTCTGGCAATGCAAACTTTACAGAAGTGATAGTGAAGCTGGAAGTGTTACATATGTATTGATGAGCCAAAATGTCATGTCTATCCACTGTCTGTTAATGTCTTAAAATGTACATATTTGCCATCTAATAACCTTTTATAAATTCTGACTATGCACATTCATTAGATGTATGCTGATCGGTATTCAGGGAATGTTATTTCTTTTTACTGTGAGCATGTACTGCCTTTTATCCTTCAGGGATTTGTAACAATGACATTGCAATGCTCAGAAGAGATAGACAACATAAGCTATGCCTGGCGAGGGCTAAGAGAACACCTGGGTGATGAAATTGATAGGAAAGTGAACAGAATGTGTTTTCTCAAGGGAAAAATGGTAAGATACAATCATCAATCTTTATAGTCTTGCTTACTATACTCTTAAGCTTGTAGATGTGTCGTCTTAAAAGGCAGGAAAAACTTATCACTTCTACAGTTCGAGGTCTGATTTGTCAAGTTACCCTTTCTGTGGCTGAGGAGGGGCTGGATATAGTAATCTTTGAGCTAAGGATGCAGCAGTTTATGGTCAGTGGGATCACTACAATGGTACAAGATATTCTGTTGAACTGAAATGTTGAGGGAGGGGCTTAATTTAATTTTTAATGTAAATATCCAAACAGGTAAACCACTAAAAGTAGTGGACACTGGCATAGGTGCCGACTCCATGGGTGCTTCAGGGCTGGAGCACCCATGGAAAAAAATTAGCGGGTGCTTAGCATGCACCAGTAGCCAAGCTCTCCCCCTCCCTCCCAGTGCCTCCTGCCCACTGACGGCCCCGCTGATCAAGGCCTCCCTCCCAGCGCCTTTGGTATGCCATGGAGTAGCTATTCCAGGGCATGCAGGAGGTGCAGGGAGGGAGGTGGAGGAGCAGGGATGGGGCCTGCTCAGGGAAGAGGTGGGGTAGGGCAGGACCTTGGGGGGAGGGGTTGGGGCTTGGGGGAAGGGGTGGAGTGGGAGTGGGCTTGGGCAGACGGTGGGATCGAGAACCCCCCAGGCAGAGAGTAAGTTTGTGCTCTGCACTGGCATTGTGCTTCGTGCTCATAGTAAATGTCAGACAGATGGCTTTTATTGAAGGGACACTTCTGTCAGTCTTTTAATAAAAGTAACACCTAAAATTTAAAGATTAGAGGAACTTTTTTTTAATCTCTTCAGGTTTACTTTGTGTGCTTGACAACACTGAAGAGCAAGTAGGCATTTTTACCATTTCACCTTTATAAACAATTCGGGGACCTATGCTCTAGTTCTTTGTCTTTGTAAAGTGTGAATTTTTGTGATGTTGCCTTCACTGATTTTTTCTTTTTCTTTTAATACCATTGTTGGTCTGTGAATTGACTACAAGTTATGTTATGAACAATGTGGGGCAACATACACAAGCTTCCTTCTATAACTTGTGACCTACTGTATTAGGATCCTTTCTTCCCTGACTGAAATAAACATTTTCATGAAGTTTACATTCTACATTTGAATATTTAAATCCACAGTAAACTTATATATCTGTCTGCTTAGATCAAACGTTCTTTGTCGAAAAGAATTGACAATTTGAGCCACACGAGACAGTGGACAACATTTTAGGAAAGAGAATAATTTTGGTAAGAAGTAAGAAAATATGTATGGAAAGAAGTGGCTCTGCAGGAAAGAGAATACCTAGGGAAGAATTGGTGAAGTACATGATGAAAAAGCAGGTGTGCTGAACTGCTTAGTGCCTGTGAAATAGTTTGATATCTTGGATGAAAGGCACTATAGGTGTGTAAAACATTGTGCTGCTCCACGTGTCAGTCTTTTTCCAAAGGTAAAATTGCTTTGGCTCCCAAATATTAAACAAGTTAAACTTGACTTCAGAAAGTGAAAATTCACAGATCCCTTTCATTAAACTGTCTCTATTCCCTAAAGGTTGTGTGCTTTAACAAATACTTCAGTGTTACCCGAAACTATGGATTACAAGATCTCGATTTTCTGGAATCCATTTTAAACCTTTTTTTTTTTTTTTTCAGGGGGTGTGTTTTGATATTCCTGCAGTGAATCTTAGACAAATACAGGTATTCTCTTAATTTCAGTAATTCTTAATTTATGGTACAGGTTTCCCAACATTTTCATAGTGTGGACCATCTTGTGGATCCCTTCTCCTCCCCATCACTGCTGGCAGACTGAACTCCATAGCCAGAACCAGTTCTCTCCATTACATCAAAAGCAATTCCCTGTCATAAATTAATTTTGCCCCAAATCAAAATGGATCTCCTCCACAAATGATTTCTAAATCCAGTTTTCCTTTTGTCAGAATCGGTTCTCATCACCTCAACTTATATTAATTTCCTTCCCACTTCTACTTATTGCCCCACAGTGTTTTTCACAAACTAAAATGGAGTTCTCTCAGTCCTTCCAGATTAGCTTCTTAATCAATTTTTCTGAATTGCAACTCAAGTTTTTCTTGCTCTTCTCCAAAAACGAATCCCTGACAATCCAATCTGCTGTAATTATTGCTTCTTTGGGGGCCTGGTCTTCCATTTTTTCAGGGTTCCCACTCCAGCCATTTCTTGCCCCCTGCAGAGGTCCCCCAATCTTCCTACCTTCATTCAGGATTGCGCCCCCAGTGCTTTCCTAGTCCCAACCCCAGCATTGACGCAGACTAGAGTCCTAAAGTGGGTGCAGGTCCTGGTCCAGAGGTGGGTCTTGGAAGAGCCACCAACACCCCCATCTCCCTTTTTAGCTTCACTCCTGTTTCAGGAGAGAGAGGGAAGAGATGCCACCTCTACTTTTGAGGCTGGTCTATAATACCTTACTGGCAGCTCCCACTTCATGTTGCGGCATCCATTCCTGGCTGGATCTGCACTCAAAGCAATAGAACTATCTCTGGTTTCTCTGGTGTCTGACTAGTAGTGGTCCAGAGTCCTCAAAATAGGAACCTCTGCTTTGCAGGACCCCAAGGGTTCCTTGATGGCATGTGCTTGTATTATTTATTTCAAGTGTACATTTAAGTGGCTGTCTTTATGTACACTTTCATTTTTATAATTGAGACCTAGAGGTTCATGATTTGTTTAACTCATAACTGTTTTCACAAAATCTGGAATCAGATGTTTCCTATGCTTCATATTTTATTTTTAATTCTAGTCCAAACTTTTTAGTTATTTTTAAATACTAGGTTGTATTTGCTACTAAGTAGTTTTTTCTTGCAGTTGCCCAATTTTATAAAACTGTAAAATGTACTGTATTTGCTTTCTTGCAAGTTTTGTCTGCATGTCAGGCTTTTACATGTATAAAGTTCAAATACATATTTAACTTCGTTTTTACCAGGGAAAATGGCAGGATTCAAAACACTGGCATCTGACTGTGGCAACTCAATTACCCGAGTTAGCAGAAACCCAGCGAGAAGGAGGCAGAGGCTTCTACGACTCCAGGAATGGGAGGCGAGGTGGCAGCTTTAATAGAAACAGATTCAGAAATAGAGGCCAGAAACGAAGTTTTGACTGAGCATTTGATCGCTAGCTCTAACAATAAAATTTGCAGAAATGAGACTAAAATATTTTTATCCACATTAAAAAAAGTCATGTTCGTTCTATGTGTGTGCCACTTGCAGAATCTGTCATTCAAAATTTGTTTTTCCAGTATTGCTAGGGATGGCTGTATACAGGACCAATTCAGAGAACAACAGTTCAGTGTATACAAAATTATGCCTTATCTTCCACACAGCTACGTCTAAAGAATATTCATCAAACTCCTCCACAGAGCCTTGTTCCAGGATGTGTCTTTTGCAATCAGAAATCTGGCTTGGGTTTACTACACAGTATATATCAAAATCTCCATTTGAATTGGTCTCCAGTAGTGACTGAAACCTGTCCATTTTCCAAAATAATTAAAATACTATTTCTACATAGTCATTTGTACATAGTGAAGTGATTGTTGGATGAATGGTGTATGTTGCTTCAGCTGGAGAGTGAGTGGGGTATAACCTTGATTCAGTTCCTGTACGCTGCACTATGATAGAATGCAATCATGTAACTAAATACTGTTTTTTTTTTCCACAGGGCCCCTGCCTCATTCAGTATACAAATCCATTGCTCCACTGAACATGAATCAGGGCTGTGTAGTGAGTGAAGCTGTTTGTGGGCCTCTTACCTCATTTATGGCAGAAGTCAAAATATACATAGGTTTCAGAGTAACAGCCATGTTAGTCTGTAGTCGCAAAAAGAAAAGGAGTACTTGTGGCACCTTAGAGACTAACCAATTTATTTGAGCATAAGCTTTCGTGAGCTGTAAATTGGTTAGTTTCTAAGGTGCCACAAATACTCCTTTTCTTTTTTTGAAAATATACATAGTAAATGAAGTAAGGGATTGCAGGAAAAGAGGATAGTCTGATGATTGAGGCAGTTGACTGCTGCACCGGTTAACTGTATTTTATTCTCTCTGCTATGGAATACATCTATGATGGGCAGGTCATTTGCATTTTCACAATTGGTCACTAATTGTTCCTTGTGTTCTGGGTTTTGATGAGAGGCGTGGGGCCAGATTTGAAGAAGTGCTGAGAGCTCACAGCTGTAACTAAAGTCAATTAGTGTTGTAAAAGTGTTAAGAACGATGACAAAATCAGGCCCTGCCATCTTAAGTTAGCCACCCAAACTTAGTGGGCACTTGATAATTTTGGCCTTATTCTCTACCTCAGGTTTCAGAGTAACAGCCGTGTTAGTCTGTATTCGCAAAAAGAAAAGGAGTACTTGTGGCACCTTAGAGACTAACCATTTATTTGAGCATAAGCTTTTGTGAGCTACAGCTCACTTCATCAAGGGGAAATAGGCTACCTTGCATAATGACTAAGCCACTCCCAGTCTCTATTCAAGCCTAAGTTAATTGTATCCAATTTGCAAATGAATTCCAATTCAGCAGTTTCTCACTGGAGTCTGGATTTGAAGTTTTTTTGTTGTAAAATAGCGACTTTCATGTCTGTAATCACGTGACCAGAGAGATTGAAGTGTTCTCCGACTGGTTTATGAATGTTATAATTCTTGACATCTGATTTGTGTCCATTTACTCTTTTCCAAAGAGACTGTCCAGTTGACCAATGTACATGGATGGCAGAGGGGCATTGCTGGCACATGATGGCATATATCACATTGGTGGATGTGCAGGCGAACGAGCCTCTGATAGTGTGGCTGATGTGATTAGGCCCTGTGATGGTGTCCCCTGAATAGATATGTGGGCACAGTTGGCAACGGGCTTTGTTGCAAGGATAGGTTCCTGGGTTAGTGGTTCTGTTGTGTGGGATGTGGTTGCTGGTGAGTATTTGCTTCAGTAGGGGGGCTGTCTGTAGGCAAGGACTGGCCTGTCTCCCGAGATTTGTGAGAGTGTTGGGTCATCCTTCAGGATAGGTTGTAGATCCTTAATAATGCGTTGGAGGGGTTTTAGTTGGGGGCTGAAGGTGACGGTCAACAAAAAAACTTCAAATCCAGACTCCAGCGAGAAACTGCTGAATTGGAATTCATTTGCAAATTGGATACAATTAACTTAGGCTTGAATAGAGACTGGGAGTGGCTTAGTCATTATGCAAGGTAGCCTATTTCCCCTTGTTTTTTCCTCCCCCCTCCCCCCCCGACGTTCTTGTTAAACCCTGGATTTGTGCTGGAAATGGCACACCGTGATTATCATACACATTTTAAGGAGAGTGGTCACTTTAGATAAGCTATTACCAGCAGGAGAGTGGGGTGGGAGGAGGTATTTTTTTCATGCTTTGTGTGTATATAATAAGATCTTCTAAACTTTCCACAGTATGCATCTGATGAAGTGAGCTGTAGCTCACGAAAGCTTATGCTCAAATAAATTGGTTAGTCTCTAAGGTGCCCCAAGTACTCCTTTTCTTTATTCTCTACCTCAGTTTCCTATCTGTAAAATGGTGGTAAATACCCATCAACTGCTTTCACATATGTGAAGAACAAATTAATTGTTTGTGAAGCACTTTGATACTATGATATGAGCACTATAGAAATGCCCATGAAGAAAGGAATAATTTTTGAGTTATTGCATATGCCTAGTTAACTGTAGGTGTGTATGTACCAGTGCATGGACAGTGGAGAACTTTTATCCCTAGTCGGAGCCCTAAGGTAGCCTCCTCTGTGGTAGCCGCCTTGACCCCCATCTCATTTCCCTCCCAGCTAGTGAGTAGGGTTTTGAACAGAATAGTTTCTGCCCTGTCATCCTGACCATATTACCCTCTTCCTTAAATCTCTCTACTAGCTGCCACTTCTCTGTCACATCAAATACAAGTGTCTGGTCCATACCTTTTAAGGCCCTTTCTAACTCAGTCCAGCCCTTCTTTTCTACTTGTCATCTGCTCTGCCAATAATGCTGTTTTCCAATGGTTACTTGTCTGCTTCTTCCAAATGACTTCCTTTTACTTGGAACACCCTTTCTGAACTTGTCAGTAAACCCCAGACCCTCTTCTTCAAATGCTTCTTCAAGACCCAGTTCCCTGGTGATACTTATGGGAAACTGCCAAATGCTAATGGCTAGGTAGATGAGTTTTGCCTGATGTTTACCTACCTTATATTTTGTGTATTTTTATAATAAAAAAAAGTAAATGGACCAACTTGGAACCAGGTATCTGCACCTATAGTTGGCTTATATCAATGTACATTCTTGTTAGTTTTCCTCCCTCTCCGTCCCTTCTAATTGTTTGTTATAGCTATTTGTAGCTAGTCTGAGGCCTGGTCTACACTACTAGTTTGTCAATTTAGCAGCATTAAATCAAATTAATCCTGCACCTGTCCACACAACAAAGCCATTTTTGTCAACATAAAGGGCTCTTAAAATTGATTTCTGTACTCCTCCCTGACAAGGGGATTAGTGCTGAAATTGACATCGCCATTTCAAATTAGCGTTAGTGTGGACGCAATTCGATGGCATTGGCCTCCGGGATCTATCCCACATTGCACCATTTTGACTGCTCTGGACAGCACTCTGAACTTGCACTGGCCAGGTATACAGGAAAAGACACGGGAACTTTTGAATCTCATTTCCTGTTTGGCCAGGCGAGCTCATCAGCACAGGTAACCATGCAGTCCCAGAATCGAAAAAGAGCTCCAACATGGACTGAACAGGAGGTACTGGATCTGATCACTGTATGGGGAGAGGAATCTGTGCTATCAGAACTATGTTCCAAAAGACAAAATGCCAAAAGTTTTCAAAAAGATCTCCAAGGCCATGAGGGACAGAGGCTACAGCAGGGACGCAACACAGTGCCGCTTGAAACTTAAGGAGCTCAGACAAGCGCACCAGAAAACCAAAGAATCAAACGGATGCTCCAGGACAGAGCCCCAGACATGCCCCTTCTATGCTGAGCTGCATGCAATTCTAGGAGGGGCCGCCACCACTACCCCACCCCTGTCCGTGGACTCCGATGATTGGGCAGTCTCCACCATGCCTGAGGATTTTGTGGATGGGGGAGATGAGGAGGAGGACGAGCTTGAGGAGAGCACACAGCAGCACACCATTCTCCCCAACAGCCAGGATCTTTTCATCACCCTGACTGAAATACCCTCCCAACCCAACGAAGCGTGAGAAGGGACCTCTGGTGAGTGTACCTTTTTAAATATAATACATGTTTTAAAAACAAGTGTTTTTTAATGATTAAGTAGCCCTGAGGACTTGGGATGCATTCGTGGCCAGTACAGCTACTGGAAAAGTCTGTTAACGTGTCTGGGGATGGAGCGGAAATCCTCCAGGGACATCTCCATGAAGCTCTCCTGGAGGTACTCTAAAAGCCTTTGCAGAAGGTTTCTGGGGAGAGCAGCCTTATTCCGTCCTCCCTGGTAGGACACTTTACTTGCTACTAGCATGGCGTGGTAATCTGGTATGATTGCATGACCATGCCTGGCAGCGTATGGTCCCGGTGTTTCCTGGCATTCAAGTAACATCCATTCTTTATCTCTCTGTTATCCTTAGGAGAGTGATATCGTTCATGGTAACCTGGTTGAAATAGGGGAATTAATTAAGGGGACATTCAGAGGTGGGTGTTCCTACTGGGCTATTTGCCTGTCCCTGAAAAGAAATCCTCCCCGCAGTTAGTCACGTGGTGGAAGGGAGGGGCATTGGCGCTGAGCTGTTCACGTTTGGCTAGCAGGGACCTTCCCTGATACGAGCCACACGGTGGGGGGAGGAGTAAAGCGATCATCCCAGAGAATTCGATGGTGGGAGGGGGTTAGTTTGGTTTCTGCTGCTGCACGTTAACATGAAAACCGCAGCACTAAATGGCCAACTCAACAGGCTTTGCTTGGTGTGGGAAAGGAGGGTGCTGTTACGAAGGTTGCAGAAGCCGAAAGACTATGGCTTACCATGGCTGTCTACAAGCTGAATTCTGTTGCCTGGCACTGCGTGTGTGATCTCTAACACCAAAACCGCAGGCACTCAATATATAAGATGCAAAATGCCACCTTGTACCAATATCACATGTGCTATGTAATGTGAATAGTGGTGTTCACTGTGAAAGAGTATAGTCATTTGTTCTGTAAAATGTATCTTCACTCCCTTTTTTCCTTCCCACAGCTGCAAATGTTTCAAGCCTCCCTCCTCCGTCCCAAAGGCTATCTCAGATAAGGCAGCGAAAAAAACGCACGCACGATGAAATGTTCTCTGAGCTCATGCAGTCATCCGGCACTGACAGAGCTCAGTGTTGTACCAATAAAATAAAAACCAGCAGGATCTTATTAAAGGGAAAAAGGCAAAATACCACATTTATTGTGAATACAGAAAGAATCATAGTAAGCAGTTAGTTCTAGTTATAACATTCCATTCAATCTCATATTTATTCACACATTCATTCATTCATACAAACACACACACACACACACACACACACACAGGTTCTGCAAGGTTGTTATCATAGTTACCAGCCTTAGAGTTGCTCATGCCAAGCCACTGGCCAGGTGGCCTGGACATGAGGAGGGAGCAGGGCCTTGTCAGATGCTCATCTGATGCTCCTGGAAGTTGGTTTGCAGAATCAGACCCCAAAGTTCTCACTTTTTAGAGTCTATTTTTATAGGAATTTCTTCCTATGCCAGTCTATGGGAATTGCTTCATCATGCTGTTGCTGAATCAATCAGCAGATAGCACATTCCTGACGGCTCCAAGATGTTATCTTGTTCTTTGGTTCTCCCATTCTTGAGGCTGTTGGGTGGATTCCAGTCTGCCCTCCGGGGGGTCCTCTGGTTATTTCCACTTGATGCCTTTTTCAGCCGATGGACACTGGATTCTTAGGCTGGCATCTCCCTGATCATTCAGTTATTATGCACACCAAGCATCCATCCACATACATCCTCTATCTCTATTTTAATCACAATTGTTAATACAACAAACGGGCGGGGAGTCTCTGGGTGTTGTTTCTGTTGTTAGAGTATTGCTTTGAGTCTCTCTCTCTGTGAATTGCTTTGAGAACAGACTCTGTCTTAGAATGTACTAACACAATTAGCAGCTTGCAAGTTTCACACATAGAGGGAGAGAAACAGTACCAAAAACCAAGAGACCTCTTAATTAGTAATACCCTGGAATTTAAACTATGGGGAATCAAACTCATTTGTGATTTTTAATACAGAACTTCTTTAATATGATCCAATATCAGCAGAATGTGTGGAGGGACACAGGAGCACAGTACAGGAAAGCGGCCAATGAACATGAGGACAGGAGGGATGATCAAGATGAGAGATGGTGGCAGGGAGATCAGAGGAGGCAGGATGCAACGCTGGGGTTACTGCGGGATTAAACGGACATGCTTCGGCGTCTGGTGGAGGTTCAGAAACGGCAGCAGGATCACAGACTGCCGCTGCAGCTCCTGTTTAACCATCCTCCCTCCTCCCCAGATGCCCAAGAATGCCAGGCGGGGAGGCTTCGGGCACCCAACCACTCCACCCCAAGTGGACAGCCCAAGCAACAGAAGGCTGTCATTCAAGAAGTTTTGAAGTGGCCTTTTCCTTCTCTCCTTCCTTCCTCCCACGCTCCACCTGGGCTACCTTGTGAGTTATCTCCCTATTTTTATAATCAAATAATAAAGAATACATGTTTTTTAAACGATAATGACTTTATTTCCTTTGCAAGCAAGCTGTGATCAAAGGGGGGAGGGTGAGCGGCTTACAGGGAATTAGTCAAATAAGGGGGTGGGTTTTCATCAAGGAGAAACAAACAGAAGTGTCACACGGTACCCTGGCCAGTCAAGAAACTGGTTTGCAAAGCTTCTCTGATGCGCTGTGCTCTTCTAATTGCCCTGGTGTCTGGCTGCGCGTATTCAGCAGCCAGGCGATTTGCCTCAACCTCCCACTCCACCATAAACGTCTTCCCCCTTACTCTCACAGAGATTGTGGAACACACAGCAAGCAGCAATAACAATGGGAATATTGGTTTCGCTAAGGTCTGAGCTAGTCAGTAAACTGCGCCAGCGACCCTTTAAACGTCCAAATGTGCACTACCACCATTCTGCACTTGCTCAGCCTATAGTTGAACAGCTTCTTACTACTGTCCAGGGTGCCTGTGTATGGCTTCATGAGTCAGGGCATTAAGAGGTAGGCTGGGTCTCCAAGGATAACTACAGGCATTTCAACATCCCCAACAGTTATTTTCTGGTCTGGGAAGTAAATCCCTTCCTGCAGCCGTTTAAACCGACCAGAGTTCCTGAAGACGCGAGTGTCATGAACTTTTCCCAGCCATCCCACATTGATGTTGGTGAAACGTCCCTTGTGATTCACCAGTGCTTGCAGCACCATTGAAAAGTACCCCTTGGGGTTTATGAACTGGCTGCCCTGGTGGTCCAGTCCCAAGATAGGGATATGTGTTCCATCTATAGCCCCACCACAGTTAGGGAATCCCATTAGAGCAAAGCCATCTACTATGACCTGCACATTTCCCAGAGTCACTACCTTTGATAGCAGCAGCTCAATGATTGCGTTGGCTTCTTGCATCACAGCAACCCCCACAGTAGATTTGCACACTCCAACTTGATTCCCGACTGACCAGTAGCTGTCTGGTGTTGCAAGCTTCCACAGAGCTATTGTCACTCGCTTGTGAACTGTGAGGGCTGCTTTCATCTTGGTATTCTTGCGCTTCAGGGCAGGGGAAAGCGAGTCACAAAGTTCCATGAAAGTGCCCGTATGCATGTGAAAGTTTTGGAGCTACTGGGAATCATCCCAGACCTGCAACACTATGCAGTCCCACCAGTCTGTACTTGTTTCCCCAGGCCCAGAATCAGCATTCCACGGCATGAGCCTGCCCCATTGATACCATGATCTCCAAATTGCCGGGGACTGCTGTTTTAGAGAAATCTGTGTCCATGTCCTCATCACTCTCGTCACCGTGCTGCTGTCGCCTCCTTGCCTGGTTTTTCAGGTTCTGGTTCTGCATAAACTGCACGATAATGTGTGAGGTGTTTATAATGGTCATAACTGCTGCAGTGAGCTGAACGGGCTCCATGCTTGCCGTGCTATGGCGTCTGCTTGGGCAATCCAGGGAAAAGGGCGTTAAATGATTGTCTGCCGTTGCTTTCATGGAGGGAGTATTGACTGATGACATTTACCCATAACCACCTGTGACAAATTTTTGGCCCCATCAGGCATTGGGAGCTCAGCCCAGAATTCCAATGGGTAGCAGGGACTACAGGAATGTGGGATAGCTACCCACAGTGCACCGCTCAGGATATCGACGCTTGCCATGGTACTGTGGACGCACACTGCCAAATTAATGTGCTTAGTGTGGACACATGAACTCGACTTTATACAATCTGTTCCCAAAAATCGACTTCTGTAAAATCAGAGTAATTTCGTAGTGTAGACAAGGCCTTAGAGTATAAGACAGCCTTGAAGAATTTACCAACTATCTGTACAGCAACTGGGACAGTAATGGCTCAGTCCTGATTGGTGCTTCTTGTGTACTACTGTAATACTTACATTGAGAGAGGATTTTAGTCGGGGGGGGACACTTTGTCTACTATTTTACAGCAATGATTGTTAATCTCTGGATCAAGCCCTGCTATGGAGGTTGATGCCTTGGGAATACAGTAAAGAGGGAGTAATGCTCGGGGGCATCAAGCACCGAAACTCTATAGCTGAACCACTTCTCATCCTTTCCTCTGTCCGTTACATCCAGCCCTATTCCTCCCCCGCACGCTCTAGGTCCAGGGGAGGGAGTTGCCATCACAGCCTGGTGTGGGCAGGAATGCATGGACCGTGCACCCCTGCCCCACCCATGGCTTAGGCTTCCTACCCAGTGTGCCACAGCACCATGCCAGGCTGCTGAGGGCTCATTTCTGCATCAGAGCCTCTAGATGCTACTGCCAGTGCCAAAGACCAGCCTCTCCACAGCTGGCTTTATGCACTCCAAGATGGCACCATGGCCAGCCTTATTCCTGGCCCCTGCCTTCCTCACCCTTGCTCATTTGGCTTCCCACCTGTCCCCAGTGCTGAGAGGAGCTGCCCCAGGTTGTGGCAGGCAGACCAGGGCCTAGCCATGCTCCCTCCGAGCAGGAGCCCATACCTCCCTCAGACTGCTCCTCTCCATAGCCCTTGGCTTATGGCTTCCTGTGATTCAGAGAGGAGCAGCAGTGGGTGCCAGTAGGGGTTCCAAGTTGGCAGTTAGAGTGGGATCTGGGTCCCAGTCTTGTGACATAGTTCCTGGGGTGTGGTCATGTCATTTTGGTGTAAAGCAAGTATTGGTAAGTGGGCCAGACTTGATTGGTGTTGTGACCTGGCACAGAGGGTCACAATGCTACTGAAATTTAGCCTAGCTGCCTCTCTAGCATTGTGGTGGGGCAAGTGGGCTAAGTTTCAGTGGTGTTGCAACCTTGTGTGCTAAGTGCCGGTGTACCAAGGATTTTAGGTGCCAGAGTAATGTTCTTGACTGATCTGACATTATCACACCCTTGTTGGGAACCAAACACAAATAATGGCACACTCTCTTAGATCTAACTCATGTCTACTTATTATGACTTACCACTCCCACTGGCTACTGTCCTCTTCAGAGGGCAGAGTTAAGGGTTTGTCATGGTGGCGGGGGAGGGTACCTTAACACTATTGCCTGTTTCTCAACAGGTTAGTTTAGTGCCTCTCTCCGTTTCAGAATGACACACAACACCACTGGGAAGCCTTAATTTAATGAAGTTTTGGAGCATTTAATTTTATAGAACTAGATGTGTTAGTTTGGTGTCTGGCAAAGGGATTGATTTCATACATGCACCATGCCTAGCACAGTACAGCTCCACTTTTCTTGATAGAGTGCAGCTGCACTAACGATAATGAAAAGACAGAGAGTTTTGTTTAGCATAGCATTTGACAAAGGCTCAGTGCTACAAAGGTATTTAGGCTCCTAATGACCACTGAAATCAGTGAAAGTAAGGGAGCCCTAATGCCTTTGTGGATCTAGGCTTCACACCGTAGCATTCTGCTTCCCTCAACCCTTCCCTGGATTCTAGCATAGAGCAACACTGAAGAGTGTGAAGGAGGTGGGATCCTAACTAGAGAGGGGGAGTAAGCCTTTTTCTGGCCAGTAAGGGTATATCTACATAGCAATGTAAACACAGGTCTGAGCCCAGGCTCAAGCCAAACTCTCCCGACCCCCGCCCCGACCCCCCCCCCCCCATGTTCTCATTGCAACTGTGCTTATTTAGGGCTTGGACTCAGGGTCTGAGCCAGTGATGAGCTGCCAAAATCTTAACAAGGGGTTCCCTCCTCACCCCACAAGGGGGTCGTTGCCCACCCCTGCCCCCTGGGACTCCTGCCCCATCCAACCCCCCCTGCGTTCCTTGACTCCCCCCCCCCCCCCCCAGGACCTCTTCCCTATCCTCCCCTGTCCCCTGACTGCCCCCAGAACCAGGAGGGTCTCGTGGGCCACTGTAGTGGGTGCCCACCCCACCCCTAAGAGCCAGAGGCACCTGCCGGGGGGTGAGGTGGGGAGTCCCGGCGGTGCTTACCTGTGGCAGCTCCCAGGAAGCATCCGGCAGCTCCCTCTGGCTCCTAGGGGCGGGGGAGCATAGCTGGGGGGAGCAGCTGCTCCCCCCACTGATCACATCAAAAGTGGCACCTTGGGCGCCAACTCCCGGGGTACTCCGGGGCTGGAGCACCCACAGGGAAAATTGGTGGGTGCAGAGCACCCAGCGGCAGCTCCCCACCCAGTGCCACGCCCGGTCCTAGGTCACCTCGCCTCCGCTCCGCCTCCTCCCCTGAACACACCGCCCTGCTCTACTTCTCCAAGCCCCCCCTCAGCTTCCCGCGAATCAGCTGTTCGGTGGGAAGCCTGGGAGGGCTGAGAAGCAGGCCGCGGCTTCCAGCTTAGGCCGAGGGTGGTGGAGGTGAGCTGGGTGTGGAGTGGTGCACCCACCGAATTTTCCCCTTGGGTGCTGGAGCACCCATGGAGTCGGCGCCTAAGGCGCCACTTTGGACTGGTTAAATTTAGAAGCCCTTTTAGAACCGGTTGTCCCTCGCGGAACAACTGGTTCTAAAAGGGCTTCTAAGTTTAACAACTGGTTCTAGCGAACTGGCTCCAGCTCACCACTGGTCTGAGCCCATGTTAAGCTGGCACTTAGGGTCCAAGCCCTATTGCTTTCCTGCGTACATACAGCCACAGCTTGACACAGGTCCTGGAAGTCTTCTGGATGTATCCCACAGTTCCTTGGGGCAACTTTCTTAGTCCTCTATGCTGACAATCTGCAATGAACTCTATTGTGGATGGAAGCCACACCTCCCTTTTGAGGTCTGCATTAACTCATTGTCTTCTGAACTCTGATTTGGAAGCACAATATCAGAGAGCCTGTAGGGTTTTCAATGGAGACTGATTTGATAAAGCTTTTTAAAAAATTAGCTGCTTCCTGGTCACATGAGCACAGCACATATTGGTGAATCATGATGACCCGGTGAGCCAGGATAATGTCCTGCTGGCCCCTGAATCCAGCTTGAGGATTGATTGCAGCCAGCAGCAGGCTCCCAACCAGGATCATGAAGTGATTTTCTTAATGAAACCAGTCCCAGAGCAGCAACAGAATCTCAGTTCCAACTTGGAAAAGCTGTTGGATTTTTCCACCCCCCAGGAAGAACCTGCTGTAAAGCCTGCTGTGAACCTGCTGGAGACAGAAGCTGCCCCAGAGCCCAGTAAAGTGTATGATTCAAATTAACAGATTATTACAGTAACAGGAGGGATTTCTACTTTTAAGAAGTCAAGAAAAAACACTAAGCCCCAGCTATCAGTGGTTGGCCAGTAATGGCAGATTGTATCACAGCATCCAGGCATACCCCCTCCCCTGCCACCATGTGGAGTTCAAAATGGTGAACTGGAATTTCAAACTTCCATACACAGCTGTAAAGGCTATTTTAACTGTTAAGTCACAGAGGTTTGCTATGGTCATTCTTGTTTTCCTTTGAGTATTTGGAAATGTGCCACTCCGCAATCACTCTTCCTGGGTCTATACAGCTGCCTGTAGAACAGTGAACTAAGAGTGTGTGTTTGGGAAACAGTATTCTGTTTCCAAATTTAGTCCATTTCAGTTAGAGGTAATCCATGCAGGGGTGGATTAAAGCTGCAGCTTTCCGAGAGTTTTCCATGCAGCAATATCAGGGTAAGCCATGTGTGCTCTCATAGAGCATCATGTTATTCCATCATGGATTAGGACCCAATCCTGATTGCTGATAGCTGCAAATTTTCCCTGAAGCAGGAACTCCAGATGGTTTGTCACATTGTGGAGAAGAGTGTATTTTCTAGGCCCCCCAATGTATAGCTGATTAGTCCACTCCACTCACGAATGTGCTGTTCGGTCACTATTCATTTGAATACTTCTGCTGCATACATTGCAAGTTTCCCTCCAGCAGCTTGAAATAACATCTCTCTGGGCTACTTGGGCACCACAAGACCTGTCATGTCTTCCAAAATATGAAAGGACTGAAATGACAGAAAACATTCTGCTGTATGGGTCCTATACAAACCCCTACCCACTCACATGCCAATTAGGATATTTTTATGAAGCAGAGTAAAGGTTTTAATTTTAAATTTACCATTGTCTCTGCACTTCTGTAACTACTATGAATAAGGCTGTGTCCACCAGAGAAAGTGTGAGGACTGAAGCATCCCCTTCAGAATATATGCAGGTTCACTTTAGAACTATTTTATTTACTTGACATTCTACAGTTATTAATTCTGTGCTCCTCCACAGAGCTACTTTAAACAATAACTCTGTTTCTTGTCCTATTTCAGGACCCTCAACCTATACTGCCTGGGTTCTTCAGAAACTCCATCCCTGGGCCAACACACCTCATAGACCATTCCAAAAGCACGTTTCCATGAAGAACTCATGGCTGATGTTCTTGCAGGGCAGAGCAGCTGTTCAAGGACCAGAAGAAGAGGGATGAAAGACTGGAAAAATAGAATGGTCACAGGCAGGCAGAGAGGCTGAAGCCCAGCTGGAGGTGCGTGTTTCAGTGAGGGAGCTGGCACATGCACTGCAGTAAGATAAGGGAGGAATATAGAGCCCAACAGAGAGAACTGTTCCAGCAACTCCTGTCTGTAATGGCTGCAAGAGCACCGGCTCCTGCTGCCTCTCACCATGGCATGATGCCCCAGCAACATACACTTAGCCAAGCAGTAGTTTGCACGACTCCATGCAGCGGTGTGGGAGAGGGATGCATTCAGGACTGGGTAAGGCAACTAACCCCTGTGCAGTTTTCTCTCTGGTGGAAACCTCCCTCTCCCCCACCACAAAGTGAGGGCTAAAACTGTAAAGAAGGGAAAGGAGAACTTGGGGGCCAGGAGACATGCAGTGATAGGGGGATTGTGTTGAGTATTAACTATTTCCTGCCCTTTTTGGGGGGCGTGGGATGGGGCTGATTTTGTAATGGCAGTTGGCCTGCCCAAGACAGTGTGAGTGGTTTACTGTTTACATACCTGTTAACAAAGAGAGAATATGTTTTCAAGAAAGTTTATTGCTATCAGTGCAACACATCATACAATCAGGATTTGAGATGAAGGTAAAAACATGTTATGGAGCAATTAAGCATGATAAAACAAACAGTATTCTTCTATTTGCTGCCCCCCCCACACATTTATTTTTCATCATGTTGATCAAGCATGACTATCAAGACTATCCCCCCCCCCCCAAGAATGAGCCAGTTTTCCCACCCAGCACATTTGTGCAGGTGCTATTTCCCCTCTTCCATTGGGCCATGCAAGTCCATAATGTAAGCACACAAAGCATCCCTTACGTTTGCTGCCCGGGTGCAATCAGCTCCTGCTGTGATAGCTGCACTTTCTGGCTGAGGGTACCGATCCTGTGTTCCCTTGCTGTCAGAGGTCCATTCAGGGGAAAATGGCTTGCCTCTGGCTTCACAAAGGTTGTGAAGAGCACAGCAAACCACAGTAATGCGGACAGCATTGATGACACTGACATCCAAGCGGGTCTGTAAACACCTCCAACGTGATTTTAATCTGCCAAAAGCGCATTCAACAAGCATTCTACACCTGCTTAGAATGTAATTAAACCTTTTTTTGCCAGGGTCTTTGATATCAGGGTATGGTTTCATTAGCCAAGGCAAAAGAGGATATGCAGGGCCACCCAGAATAACACTGGGGACTGCAACACCATTTATATCAATGTCATTGGGTGGGAATAGTGTCCTAGCCTGTCCACGGATATAGACTCCAGAGTGGCGAAAAACTCTGGCATTGTGAACTTTTCCTGTACAGCCCACATTGACATTCATAAATCTGCCTCTGTGATCCACTAGTGCCTGCATAACAATGGAGTAGTACCCATTGCGATTTAGATACTCATGTGCTCCTTGGGGAGGGCAAGCTATGGGTACATGACTCCCATCAATGGCCCCGGCGCAGTTAGGAAACCCCATTCTCTCAAAGCCAGCAATTACCTCAGGAATATCTTTAATGCCCGCCACCTGGGGGTAAACCACATGCCGGATTGCCTCAGTTACCTCTGCCACCACTTTACCCACAGTTGACTTTCCAATCCCAAACTGGTTGGCAACAGACCTGTAGCAGTCTGGAGTAGCCAGCTTCCACACAGTTATAGCAACCCGCTTCTGGACTGGCAAAGGTGACCTCATGTGTGTCTCTTTACGCTGGAGGATGGGGGTAAGCTGCTCACAAAGCTCCAGAAATGTGGCTTTCTTCATGTGAAAGTACTGGACCCAGTGCTGGTCATCCCACGTCTGCATGACAATGTGGTCCCACCAGTCTGTGCTTGTGACCCTGCACCAAAAGCGGCGGTCTACACAGGGGACATCAGCGGTTATGCCAATTATACTGAGCAACATCTGCCACTGAGAGTCCATGATGTCAGGGTACTCTTCCTCTTCTGCCTCCTCTTCCTCCTCCTCTTCCTGCAGATCCGTCAGGAAATTAGTCAGGAACCTTCGGTGGCACAGAAAACGCCGCTGAACTGTCCACCAGCGCCTCACAGAAGCTCTGCCGGTTTCCTGACACAGAAGTGAAAGCGCAAGTAGGAGGAGTTCATCCAAAGGCGCCTCCTCCATGTTGCTGGCTCTGATGGCTAGGAGTGCACAGACCAAAATGACTGCTAGGCAGCTTGTGGGGGGAGGAAGAAGGGGGGCAGTTCACGTTTCCTATAACGAGCATGGTGGGCAGTAGAGTTTTCCCACAGTACAACATGGTCTAGGGCTAGAGTGTCGACATAGGCAGTGGGAGGAGTGCCAGGCACTCCGGGATAGGGTGACTTTGACTTGGGACTGTGCGCTGCAGTGTGGTTGCCAGATCCCTAGGCTCAAGCCTGAGTCAGAAAATGTTTTAACCTAGGGTTAAAATGCAGTGTAGACGCTCCAACCCAGGGTTCCCTGACACAGGTCAGCTGACTTGAGTTCCAAGAACCCGAGCTGCTGAGTAGCCACAGAGCCTGAGGCACCATCTACACTGCAGGGGGGCGTCTCATGCCCCCCCCCCAGTGTGGGCTCGCGGGGAGGGGGGCATCCCCAGCATCCACCAGCCATAGCTCTGCCCCGGCGGGGGGTGTGGGGACAGCGCAGGGCCGGGGCGGCGCCGCCGGCTCCTTCTGAGCTGCGCCCCGCGAGGGGTGACGCGGGCGGCGGGGGAGGGCGCTGGGCTAAGGGGCGGGTGCGCGCGGCGGCCGGGCCACCCAGGGCGCTTGATGGGCGCAGCGTGCCGCAGGCTGCTGTGCGGAGCCGGGCGGCCGGGCGCAGGGGCTGCGGGGCTGCCCCCCCTTCCCGCCCCGCTCGTGCGAGGACCCGGCTCGGCGCGCCCCCCGCTCGGCCCCCGCGCGGGGCTCCGGCTGCTCCAGCCCGGCGCAGCCCCCTTCTCCCTCGGCCGGCGCTGGGGTTGGGCCCGGGCCCCGGCCTTCATCCCCTCGCCTCACTTCCTGTGCGACGGCCCCGGGGCGGGGCTCGTTCCTTTCACCGCGGCCGCCGACCAGCGCAGCGGCTCCCTGCCCGAGCTCCGCGGGGAACAGCCGGAGGAAATGCCCGCAGCCGCCCTCCTTGCAGCCGACAGCGAGCCCGAGACCCCCCGGGAAGGCGAGGCTGCCCGGGCGGGCCGGAGGAGGAAGCACAAGGTACCGGAGATGGAGGCGGAAACATCGGGGAAGAGAAGCCACCTGAGCCGGGACCCCCGGGCGGGGTGGGGGCGCGCGCGGCTGGGTGGGGCCCGATCGCAGCCGGCCGGAGGGAGAACCGGGCCCGGGGGTCCCCGCACAGACCCGTGCTGTGCCGGAGGCTCCTCGTGCTATTCGCCGCTTGGCCTCCATTGCTGCGCCACGTGGGCGCCTCGCGTCCGGATCGCGGTGTGGGCGTCGCCGGGCTGGGTGAGCGGAGAGCCCGGCACCGCTGGTTTGCCGCTGAACAATCAGCGGCGCTCGCCGACCTGCCATCCCGATGGTCTGGCGCATTTCTGCCCCCTTGTCAGTCTCCCCGGGGACGAGAAAGGTGCCAGCCCTGGGCTGTGTCAGGCAAAGAGCGTGTGTGTTCTCTGGCCAGAGGGGCTCCACCGAGCGCGCCCTGTCACCGTCCCCGGAAGGTATCTGGCCCTAGGGTATCTGTGTACTGGGAGGTGTGATTCCCAGCGTGAGTAGAAGGGCTTGGGCTAGCTCTGCTCTAAGTCGGGCTCTATAAATAGCAGTGTGGTCCTTGTGGCATGGGCAGTGACTTGGGCTAGCCAGCCACCTGAGCTCAGAGCCAGGGGGTTGGGTGGGCTTGGACTGGGGCAGCTTGATCTTCTACACTTTCCACAGTATCCATCCGATGAAGTGAGCTGTAGCTCACGAAAGCTTATGCTCAAATAAATTGGTTAGTCTCTAAGGTGCCACAAGTCCTCCTTTTCTTCTTGTGTAAGCCATTACCTGTGCCCCAATTCCAGGCTGCTGTTTTCAGAGTGTTCGTTTGAGCACTGCTAGTGTGAGTCTATCTACCCCTGCGGTAATCACATCTTTCAGCTGCAGTGTAAATATCCCACCCTTTCAGATTATAGTGTCAGCACATTTATACATGTTAATCCCACCCCATCCCAAATGACTTTTGTGAAATGGAGATCTCTAAATGTCAGTGCCTAGAAGCTTGAGATTTTGGTTTAATATCTTGGTCCAGTGGATAGGATAGGGCATTAGACTGGGACTCAGTAAAGAGTTCTGTTCCTGACGCTGCCACTAATCTGCTGCATGAGGTTGGGTAAATCACATCACCTGGTGCCTCTGTTTCCCCTCCCATCCTTTGTCTGTGGTGTCTGTTTTGATTGTACATGCTTCAGGTTAAGAAAGATATGCCTGTACAGTGCCTAGTAAAATAGAGTTCCAAACTCATTTGGGGCCTGTAGGGGCACCCGTCATGCAAATAATTACATCTGGTAATCATGAGTGAGTAAACAGGTAGGTGCATATGACACTAATTCATCCAGGAAGAATCTGGTTCTCCTCATATTCAATACTTCGATTGCTTGAGGACTGATACTGAATACTAACTGTGACTGAACATTCTCTTACAATATGGGGTGGTTTAATTAAAATGGGGTATGGCCCTGCCGGAGAGATTCTGATGACAAAGGAATCCTGCTCTCCCTGAAGAGGATCAGGCATCAGAGATGAAAAGTCTAAAGACATTTTACTTTTCTTTATATACTTTGTTTTTTTGTCCTTTTCTGTTTGATGTTGTTGTCTCTCTGAAGGATAAAAAGGAGAAGAAATCTAAACGCCGCGATAAATCCAAGGAGCTGAAATCCCAAACAGAGGAAAATAAGCTATCTGAAGATGACCTTGAGCCTCCTAAACCCAAAAAGAGGAAAAAAGTTAAAGTGAATCAAGAGATTGAAGAAAACAGCCCAGAGGACAAGGTGAAATCCTTGTCCATGAACAATGGCATTGTCCACTCAAAAGCTCAGTGTAATTCCAGTGAAGCATCAAGTGCAGAATATGACAGTGACCAAGAGCCAGTAAAGGTACACACTGAAACCCTGAATTTTACCTGCTTTAAAAATGTAATCTACCGGTCTTGCTTGGTGGAAGTGCTCAGCGCTACTAGGAAATATCTTGCTTGTCATCCCTGGTCCTAGCAGAGGATAATAGATTCTGTGCGTGCAGCACAGAATTCACAATCCAGGAGGAGGGGATGCTAAAGTAGCTTTAAGTTTAAGCAGCCTTTAACCTCTCTTGTTTCTGGTCTGGTCTGGTGGGTGGAGCAGCCCTGATATAATTTGGGCTGCCTATGGTACAGCCTGTCCCCAGCTGACTGTGGGCAGCAGCTCTGCCAAGAATCTCTGCAGTGCTGTACAGTCCACATACTCCCACCCCCCCAATCCCTGCCAGGGTTTACAAAAGGGTTCTCATAAAACCGTTTATGGCTGTATTCCTCTGTTCTTGCTCTTCAAACAATTCTCCCCATGCTGGGTTCAGCCTTTGTCCTGCATACAGGGGTCAAAATGCAAGGGGGAAATCTCACCATTGATCTGTAAATCCATCTCCTGCCAAGGAAGGATATATATGGTTTGTTTACACTGGTAAATTTATGATTATACTGGTATAACTCAGTGTTGTTATATCTTATTCTGGAACAAGAGTGTGCACTTAGGGAGTTACACTAGTATAATTAAGACAGTAAATTTTCCTGTGTAGGCAGGTCCATAGCCTTCATGCCAGAAAATATCAGACATTAATCTGATTTTGTGTATCAGGCTGAGAAAGGAATATTACAAAAGGAAAGCATGCCACTTATGGGAATGAGCATGGAGTGCCTTCTGTTGCTCTCTCCTGTTTGATCAGAGTCTTGTTGAGACGTTTCAGAGAGACCTTGCTCCTCTTGTATATATTGCTGGGTCTTGCAGCTCTTCTGTTTATTGCATGTTACATAGGGAAGTATATGTCAATAGTAGAGTGTTTTTGTAGATCACCTGTAGTTTGTTTTCAATTTCTGTAGCAGAAGTTGGGTAGCTAATTTCAAGTTAGTCAATTTAGTGGATAATTTAAATTAAAATATTTATTTGCAAAATCTCTGAGAAAGTTCCATCATCCAGAAATGTTCTTTACTGGATAATATATGCTAATAGTGAATATGTGTTTGTTTTTGTTTCTACTGCATTTGGCAGAACAATTTTCTAATGTTTTCCAGGGGTGAGTTAAAAAATATTAATTAGCAAGAGGAATACAAATAGTCCAAGTGTATACACACAATGTAATAGCAGCCTGAGGTGCAAGGGCCAATGGTGGTTGCCCTGCATTTATCAAGGTTGTAAAATGACTTTGAGGGTCTCCTTTTCCCCCATATACCCAGGGGATCATGGGTGAGACTGTTCTGGAGAAGTTTTTTATTTTTTCTTTTCTTTTGGGTTAAAATGTTGTGGAACTCAGTAGTATAGTAAAATGACTGTCTCCTTGTGCCTAATCTGTTGCTTTATTTTAATTTAACAGCAGTTGACAGAAGAGGAGAAAGAAGGTGCCTTCTCTAATTTCTCTATTTCCAAAGAAACAGCTGAGCTTCTTAAAGGTAACTTCTGTGGAGAAGAAATTTACTAACAAAAAGGTGGTTCCAAATAGATCGCAAGTATCTTTTTAAATAATGTGCCGAAAGCCATTCTGTATTAGTGACACAAGCAGGGATGGAAACCAGAAGGCCTGACTCTCACACCCCACTGTAACCACTAGGCACCTTTGCTCCCATTAATGAGGGTTTCACATTTACACGATTTCAAGTGCAGTCTCATCAAGGCAGATTCATTTCCTCTGTGATACCGTTGCTTCTAGATATAAACTGTGGGAAAACAGTTGCTTTTTTTTTAGGGCTGTCAAGTGATTAAAAAGATTAATTGTGCAATTAAAAAGATTAATTGTGCTGCTAAACAATAATAGAATACCGTTTATTTAAATATTTTTGGATTTTTTTTACATTTTCAAATATATTGATTTCAGTTATAACACAGAATACAAAGAGTACAATGTTCACTTTATATTTTTTATTACAAATATTTGCACTGTAAAAAGCAAAAGAAATAGTATTTTTCAGTTCACCAAATACAAGTACTGTAGTGCAGTCTCTTTATCATGAAAGTTGAACTTACAAATGTTGAATTTTTACAAGAAAAAACTGCATTAAAAAATAAATCAATGTAAAACTTTAGAGCCTACACGTCCACTCAGTCTTACTTCAGCCAATCACTCAGACAAACAAGTTTGGTTACAATTTGCAGGAGATAATACTGCCTGCTTCTTGTTTACAGTGTCACCTGAAAGTGAGAACAGGTGTTCACATGGTACTGTTGTAGCTGGTGTTGGAAGTTATTTATTTGCCAGATGTGCTAAAGATTCGTATGTCCCTTCATGCTTCAACCACCATTCCAGAGGACATACATCCATGCTGATGATGGGTTCTGCTCGATAACAGTCTAAAGCAGAGTGGACCGATGCATGTTCATTTGCATCATCTGAGTCAGATGCCACCAGCAGAAGGTTGATTTTCTTTTTTGTTGTTTTGGGGGGAGGGATAGCTCAGTGGTTTGAGCATTGGCCTGCTAAACCCAGGTGTGTGAGTTCAATCCTTGAGGGGGCCATTTGGGATCTGGGGCAAAAATTGGAGATTGGTCCTGCTTTGAGCAGGGGGTTGGACTAGATGACCTCCTGAGGTCCCTTCCAACCCTGATATTCTGTGATTCTGTAGTTTCCGCATCAGAGTGTTGCTCTTTTAAGACTTCTGAAAGCGTGCTCCACACCTCGTGCCTCTCAGATTTTGAACAGCACTTCAGATTCTTAAACCTTGGGGCCCATTGCTGAGCCTATTTTTAGATATCTCACATTGGTACCTTCTTTGAGTTTTGTCAAATCTGCTGTGGAAGTGTTCTTAAAACAAACAACATTTTCTGTGTCATCGTCCGAAACTACTATAACACGAAATATATGGCAGAATGCAGGTAAAACAGAACAGGAGACCTACAATTTTCCCCCAAGGAGTTCAGTCGCAGATTTAATTAACACATTTTTTTTAACGAGCATCATCAGCATGGAAGCATGTCCTCTGGAATGGTGGCTGAAGCACGAAGGGGCATATGAACGTTTAGCATATCTGGCACGTAAATACCTTGCAACGCCGGCCACAAAAGTGCCATGCGAATGCATGTTCTCACTTTCAGGTGACTTCGTAAATAAGAAGCAGGCAGTAAATGTAAACAAACTTGTTTGTCTGAGTGATTGGCTGAACAAGAAGTAGGACTGAGTGCACTTGTAGGCTCTAAAGTTTTACATTGTTTTGGTTTTGAGTACAGTTACATAACAAAAGTACAATCTACGTTTGTAAGTTACAGTTTCATGATAAAGAGATTGCACTATAGTACTTGTATGAGGTGAATTGAAAAATATGATTTCTTTTATCCTTTTTACAGTGCAAATATTTGTAATAAAAATAATAAGTGAGCATTCTTCTGTTCTGTATTTTGTATTCTGTCTTGTAATAGAAATCAATGTATTTGAAAATGTAGAAAAACATCAACAAATATTTAATACATTTCAATCGGTATTCTATTGTTTAACAGTGCAGTTAATTTTTTGAGTTAATTGACAGCCTTACTTTTTTTTTTCCTCTGATTAGCATTATGTTGTGAGGTTGTCACTTATATTGTCTGTTGTAACTTCTATATCTGTTTCTGCGTACTATTTTCTGAAAAACTATCCCATTCTATATATGTGCATATTATTTCTTCAGGGGTAGTACTTTAAATTATCTTTATTAAATCTAATTTATAACTGGTCATCTGTCTCAACTTTTAGATCATTTGGCAATTTTGATCTCTTCTCTCTGATCTGCTATCCTAGATTAGTATATTCTGTGAATTTAATCACTACGGAGTTCACATTATTCTGATCGTTGAGTATTGGTAGAGTTTAAAGCAACACACAGGAATCCATTTTAAACTTTCCTTGTTCTGAAGTCACACCATTAATAATTTGTATGTACTACTGGCCAGTTTTTACCCACCCTAATGTTTTCCTCTTTGTACAGCATCTTTCAAACTTCTGCAAGTTTTAATGTGCTTCTGTGTTTAAAAACAAAAAAAAGTCCCACAACCTTGACTGATATCAAAGTCAGTTGCATGTACTGTTGCTGTTCTGTATCAGACGTAGCAAAAAATGGTCGTTTACCCCAGATATCAAATCTTGCTCCAGAAAAAGATTAAAAAAATGTTTTGCCAAGTATAGTGGAAATGAAAACAAATGTGTATTTACTATTTGCACCCACTGTCAGATGCAGGACTTGCCATGATCTGTCTCATGAATTTGGTTTGCTTTTCATTATCATACAAAAGGGCTTTCAGATGTCTATCTCAGCTTATTGTGGATTCACGGCACCTTTTAATAAAGGTATATTGAACTGTCTTGTAGCTCGAGGAGTAAAGTACCTGTTTTCTGTGCAAGCGAAGACCTTTCAGCCCATATATGATGGCAAAGATGTGATAGCTCAGGCTCGAACTGGAACTGGGAAAACGTTTTCTTTTGCTGTTCCTTTGATTGAAAAACTTCAGGGAGACACACTGGAGAGGAAGAGAGGCCGCATACCAAAGGTAATTTAGCCACTTAAGGACTCACTGATGGCTTAAATTATGGCAATATTTGAAAGTGATTTTTATAATTGTTTTTGGTTCTTATTAAAAATATCCCCTTCTTTCTTCCCACTTACTCCCTTTTTTAAATGCTCCTTCTGATCCTGGAAAACATTCTTCAAAATAGGGTTTACAAAATGACACTTCTTCACAGTATCCTAATGATGACAAAATACACAGCTTTATGATTCTTTGTGATTATGTTGCATTCGTTGTGTAATAGGCTGAAAAGAGGGAGGGCATATCTGCTGTATTCATATGAGCATATACAAATATTCTGCTCTTAGCTGCCTAGTGAGCAGGTTTCTTGTATGGTTTGATACCTCTCCTACTCATAAAAATGAAGCAGACCGGCAAACTGGTGTTATCCCAAATTATTCTTGCCCCTGTATATAAACTACAGGATGACACTTGCTTTTTCCCTCCACATTGGGACAGCTTAAGTTATGATTTCAAGTCCTGGCATAAATGTTCTTTATGCTTCTATTTAAGCACGTGATTTAACTGGTAGTGCACTATAAAGGGGTATTGTCAAGGTTGGTCTGTTTATAGTTAGTCCAACCAGCTTTGTTGTGGTTTGTGGAATAAAAACACATCTCTTCCATCCTTCTACCATGCCTTTAGAGTACACATTATAAAATATTGTCTGAAAGATTTGTAAGAATATTATTCACTGGTTGATATTATCTTTTAATTCTTACGGACTAACAATTGCAATTCATTTGGGAGGTGGGGACAGTGATCGCTCACTAGAGTGCTTCAAACTTCAGTGTTTTATTTAAAATAAATTAAATAGCAGCTCTCTTGTTATCCCAAAATTTTGGTTTATGCACCTTTTTGTCCTTTAATACTGAACTGCGCATTGGTCATCATCGTAATTTTAGAAAATTTATAGATTTAGAGAGCTATCTTATTGTGTACAATTCTTTTACGACTATCTTAATTGTACTGTCCTCAGCAATTAAATCTGGGTGCTGCTCAGGAACAACAAGGCAACCTGATCTAGACAAATGAATACAGGATTGGGAGTCAGAAATTCCTGATTTTTATAATCCCATTTCTGTTGATAACTTATTGTGTAGCCTTGGGCAAGTCACTTGACTTCTTTGCCTCAATTTCTTGATCTGTATTATGAGTCAGACACTTACCTGTCTTTCAGAGATGTTTGAGAATTAATTACTAGTGTGTTAAAGCATTTCAGACTCCTAAATAGCTAAATAAGTGTGAAGTATATTACAGAGACACTGCTGTTATGCAAGAAATATCAATGAAAGTTACATTTTTAAAAGGCTTCATTAGGTGTATTTTATAATTCAAGGCATAATTATGGTGTAACTATTGCTAAACATTTAGTCTGCCTTAATTCATCCTCCTTGGTGGTGGGGAGGAAAGTGTGGCAAAACTTAGGGTTAGGGTTACCATGCTGCAGCTCAGTGCTGCAGGAGCTCACAGCCACACTGCTGCACTCCCTGGCAGGAGCAGCGGGCCACAGCGCTGGCGGCTCAGTGAGCTGATGCTGCGGTGGAGGGGGAACAGCAGGGGAGGGGCCAGGGGCTAGCCTCCCCGACTGGGAGCTCAAGGGCTGGGCAGGACGGTCCCACAGGCTGTAGTTTGCCCACCTCTGTCCTAGAGAGATCTCTCTAATTATATTTTCTGTACACTGTCATTTAGCAATGATACCAGAGTAACTGTTTTTATTAATCATTTTCTTGGTGCTTAAAATCTGGTTATGCTAACCTATGTGTCCTTGAAATGTGATAGCAACAAAATGGACATAGAAAAATAACTATAACAGCAAGAATTAACACTGGATAACTTAGAAAATTCAACTAATAACATGGGCAAATAAATGAATAGTAAATTTAAAGGTAAAGGTTCACATAAGTGTGAGGCACTTTATCTAACCCATTCTGTGGGACATGTGACCCATACAATTGCAGGTGGCTCTCCTTTGATTTGTTCTGTGACCAAGGTTAGTGGAAGGGATCAGACCAGCTTTTAGTAGTGCATAAATCTGGGTTCTGCTAACTTTGGCCCAAGCTTTCTTTGAGGTCCATGGCACTGGATAGCTCGTTGTGGCTCCCAAGTCAACACCAGTGCTAGCTTGGAGAAAGCTATGCCAGTTCTGCTTGTTCGTACTGTTTATGAAAGCCATGATGTACCAGTCTCCTTCTGGTTGAGAGTGTGATCTGAATGATGAGGAGGAGCTTGGAGACCATCGTGCTGAACGTGGCATAAAACCACAGCTGTTTACAAACAGGAGAAAATTCAAGGGGGCAGCGTCAGATCAACTTTGCAGAACAGCTTACCTGATAGGGTGGGGAATTTGATACCAATCACCAAGTGGCTGCATTTCTGATGGTTTTGTCATTCTGTCCAGGTGCTAGTTCTTGCTCCAACGAGAGAGCTGGCAATCCAGGTAGCCAGAGACTTTAAGGATGTCACAAAGAAACTCACAGTGGCTTGTTTTTATGGAGGAACTCCATATAATGGACAAAGTAAGTACATGTTAGAAGTCGCTTTGATATCTGCTGTTATTTCATGAGAATCATTCAGGGAATAAAACTGTCTATTTTCCTTAAGGTTTCACTTCAGTAAAAAACTGAAATTGTTTAAAAAAGAAAAGGTAGTTCAAGTTGGGTCCATCTCTACCAAAAGAATCCTAGGGGATCGCTATCCAAATGTATAATTTATTTTCTTCAGAAGTTATAACATTTGCTTTAAATTTATAAAGAAATAATCTTGTTCCTGAGTGGATGAACGCTGGGGCCAGATGACTGTCCAAGGAAAGCAGAGTGTTCATTTTAAACCCCAAGTGATGGTGTTCCAGTTTAGAGGGTAGTGAAACTGAACAAATCAAACCATTTCTTGTCTATTCATTTGTGCCTGCCATCTTATCATAGAATATCAGAGTTGGAAGGGACCTCAGGAGGTCATCTAGTCCAACCCCCTGCTGAAAGCAGGACCAATCCCCAACTAAATCATCCCAGCCAGGGCTTTGTCAACCCTAACCTGAAAAATATCTGAGGAAGGAAGGATATTGTAATGTTGCTTTCAGCTTCAGTAGTTTGTGGCTCAGATACCTCAAATGTGATTGGAGAGCATGTTACGGAGCTCAGCCTTGAACTTGCCACTTGACGTCAGCACTGTAGAATGACAGCAAGAACTGCAGAAGAAACAATTGGCTAGATTGTCACGTTTTTATTTAAAAAAGAAAAAAAGTGGGAACTCAGTTGGGAGTAGAGAGACTGTAAATTATGATGAAGTCCTGATGGTGTTAAATGTGAATTGAATGAAAATGAAGATTTTGGCAGAAGGCATTCTCGTTAAGTTATCAGTTTTGGTTTTAGGATAGCAATCCTTATAGAAAGCCACAGACCACCGCCAGACTCCTTTTACTTGTGACCTAAACTGATTTAATCCTATCTCTGAAAGTGAAAGGTTTAGGGCATTAACAACCTAGTCTTTAAATGAGAAGTATTACTGTAAATTGATAGTAGTTTACCAGCCCTAGAAATTCTGTGATCTTTAAGCATTCTTACACATGTGCTGTTTTGCTGCCCTTTCTTCCAGTTGAACATATTAAAAACGGCATTGACATCTTAGTTGGGACTCCAGGACGAATTAAAGACCACCTTCAGAATGGCAAGCTGGACGTTTCCAATGTGAAGCATGTTGTTTTGGATGAAGTTGATCAGATGTTGGACATGGGCTTTGCTGAACAAGTGGAGGAAATTCTAGCATTTGCTTACAAAAAAGGTAAATACTGAATTTTTATGAGTATTGCATTGTCTGCAAAGTAAATTTTTCTGATATATATACGTGTGTGTGTGTGTGTGTGTGTATGTATGTATGTATTGGAATACTTTTTTGAAGGAAATGGTGGAAGCCTCATCAATTGAAACATTTGAAACTAACATGGTCAAAGCAATAGGAAATATAAGAACATACAGGTGGCCACACTGAATCAAACCAAAGGCCCATCTAGCACAGTATCCTGTCTTCCGACAGTGACCAATGCGAGGTGGTTCAGAGGGCATGTATAAAACAGGCCATTATTGGGAGATCCATCCCCTATCATCCATTTCCAGCCTCTGGCAGTCAGAGGCTAGGAACACCCTAAGAACAGGGTTGCATCCATAACCAGCTTGACTAATAGCCGTTGATGGACCCATGAACTTATCTAGTTCTTTTTTGAGCCCAGTTATACTTTTGGCCTTCACAATATCCTCTGGCAACAAGTTCCAAAGGTTGACTATGTGTTGTGTGAAGAAGTGCTTCCTTTTGTTTTGTTTTTTTGAACCTGCTCCCTATTAATTTCGAGTGACCCCTGGTTCTTGTGTTATGTGAAGGGGTAAATAACACTTCCTGATTCGCTTTTTCCACACCAGTCATGATTTTATAGACCCCCATTGTATCCCCCCTTAGTCATCTCTTTTTCAAGCTGAACGGTCCCAGTCTTTTTAATCCCTCCTCATGTGGAAACTGTTCCATACCTGTACTTGTTTTTATTGCACTTCGCTGTACATGTTCCACTTCTAATATATATATTTTTTAAATGAGGCTACCAGAATTGCATGCAGTATTTGAGGTGTGGGTGTACCAGGGATTGATATAGTGCATCATATTTTCTGACTTGTTATCTATGCCTGTACTAATGGTTTCCAACATTGTTAATTTTTTTGACTGCTGCTGCATATTCAGCAGATGTTTTCAGAGAACTATCCACAATGACTCCAAGATCTTTCTTGAGTGGTAACAGCTAATTTAGACCCCAGCATTTTGTATGTATAGTTGAGATTATGTTTTCCAATGTGCATTACTTTGCATTTATCATCACTGAATTTCATCTGCCATTTTGTTGCCCAGTCACCTAGTTTTGTGAAACCCCTTTGTAACTCTTCACAGTCTGTTTTGGACTTAACTATTTTGAGTAATTTTATATTGTCTGCACATTTTTCCACCTCACTGTTTACCCCTATCTCCAGATCATTTGACTATGTTGAACAGCACTGGTCCTGCTACAGATCTGTGGGAGACACCACTATTTACCTCTCTCCATTCTGAAAACTGATCATTTATTCCTACCCTTGGTTTCCCATCTTTTAAGCAGTTAATGATCCCTTCCCTCTTATCCCACGACTGCTTAATTTGCATAAGAGCCTTTGGTGAGAGACTTTATCAAAGACTTTCTGAAAGTCCAAGTGCACTATATTGATTGGATCACCCTTGTCCACATGTTTGTTGACCCTCCTCAAAGAATTCTAATAGATTGGTGAGGCATGATTTCTCTTTACAAAAGGCATGTTGACTCTCCTCCAACAACTTGTGTTTACCTGTGTCTGATAATTCTGTTGTTTACTGTAGTTTTAACCAATTTGCCTGGTATTGAAGTTAGGTTTACTGACCTGTAATTGCCAGGATAGCCTCTGGAACCTTTTTTAAAAATTGTCACATTAGAAGCCGATTTATGTGATAGGCTACATATCACACACATGTTGTAGGAAATGATTTGCATTGATAGAGGATCGACTGTCTAGAGGTAACCTGCATCTCGGTTCCAATGCGTGTTCCTGTCCAGTTGGTCCTGAGGGATCTATAAGAATAGACTGTGCATTTTGTAGTGACAGCTGCTGAATGTTAAGCTGTCTTATTTGGAATAGGACATCAAGTCTGTTGCATGATAATAGAGTGAATGTGCTGAGCATCATACTGAAAATAATAGTAAACCATCAGTTGAGTTCCTCCTTTTGTCTTGCTCTGATTCAAATCATTGGGAATTTTGCTATTGACTTAAATGGGGAGCAGTTTTGGTCCCGTTGATACTTAATTTTTTCCCACTTTTAATCATTATACTTTGATTATTGTAGCTGATCAATATTAAAATTACATACTTCTCCATCTCCTGTATACATTTATTAGCCTTCTCAAAATTTTGAAATTTATGCTTATTGCTTTGTAACTAGTCCTTATAACATGGAATCTGTAATGAAACATCAGTTCTTACGTTGTAATACTACTTGGATTATTGATAGTGATGTGTTGTTTCAAAGATTCTGAAGACAACCCCCAAACACTGCTGTTTTCTGCAACTTGTCCACACTGGGTGTATGATGTAGCTAAAAAATACATGAAATCTAGATATGAACAGTTTGACCTTATTGGAAAGAAGACTCAAAAGACGGCTATGACTGTAGAGGTAAGTAGTTTTGTTACTGCGTGGTATAGGTGCTAGGGATACATAGGATGGATAATATGGGTTATGGTTCTGATCTTCAAAAGCTATGATATTACAGTAACTAAAGCTTAATTTTCTTTTGGCAGTGATTAAAATTAACATAAAGCTTTCTGTAAATAATTTTATGTGGGAAAACAAAATTTTTGTTTTCTTGGTTTTTTCATTTATTTTAAATAAAATCCTAAATATTTTAGAGGATTTTTTAATCAAAATGTTGTCTTTGTGTAAAGAAGTTTAGCTGATATCCTGCTGAATGACAGCAGATATAACATTGGCATATTTTCTTTCCCTAACAGCATTTGGCTATAGAGTGTCACTGGTCTCAGAGAGCAGCAGTTATTGGGGATGTCATTCAGGTTTACAGTGGCAGTCATGGACGGACCATCATATTTTGTGAGACTAAAAAGGATGCAAGTGAACTGGCCCTGAATGCTTCTATTAAACAGGTATTGATGTCTGAAGAGGTAGTCATGGTTGTAAATATCAAGGCTAGAAATTCCTGAAATGAAGATGGGAGCTCAGCCATACAAATAGAATTTATTGTTGTAGGCTTCATGTTTTGTCAACAAGGCCGGGTTTTTTTGACATTTCAGAAAGCTGCAAGTTTCTCCTCAACCATAACAATTATAACTTCTTTTTGGCTGCAAGATCCTTGGAGACAGGAATTTTATTTTGTGTCTACTGTATGGTGCAAAACACATTGCTGACGCTATATAATAAGAAATAATAAAGGAATAGACATCACAGCTTATATTAACATGCTGTTTGGATTCCTGGTTCTTACAACCATGCGTCATCTGAATAATGGGTATTTGGGATACAGGGTGTCCTATAAACACAGTATGGCATTTATCCTAGGACTGAAAGGCCTACTCACCCTCTAAAAAATCCTCTTGAGCCATTAATTCAGGCCTTGTAGAGTATATTGAGCAGGCCTTCTGCACGTAGATGAATTTTACCCATAATGAATAATAATCCTGGATTCTTACAGAGCAGATATTGTTTTGATGTTGAATGTTAAAATCAAGGAAAAGAGGGAATGGGGAAGTGCAGATATATTTAGTATTTAGTTAAATGGGGTTTACTGTACAGGCTAGACATGCTTAGTTCTGTGGGCTTGCTTTTTTCTCTCCTACTTGTGCATGTAGAAATTCTGTGTAGTTCATTCACAGTAAACCAGCTAAATATGCTAATAACTTCAACAAGGTTGTAGAGTGACACACACAAACACTTGAGATTTTTATGCTAATATTAACCCTTTGAGGCTAGGTGAGTGTGAAGTTGTGTTGTATTTAATAAATTCTGCTTTTCCATATTGCATTGAGAATTCCCACTTCTGGATCCTGATCTCTTCCCCATTAGACAAATTTAGGCACCACCTCTTTTCTTGCAAATACCAGAGGCAGTTCAGACTTGTCAGTTGGGCTTGGCCATGTCGCTGAAAATTTTGTGCCATGTTCTCTCTTGCCTGTGGGGAGCTCTTCAGGGCAGGGACCTTGGTCTTGATTCTCATCTCATACTCGTTTTATATTTTAAGTTTTTGTGTTTTCAACTGAGTTACACCAGTTAAAGTGAATTAGGATCAGGTCTCTTGTCTTCATATCGGCCTGTAAAGCATGTAGCGCCACGGTTGATGCTATCTACTGCTGTGAACAGTGTTTTGGGGTGGTAAGGAACAGCAAATAGTGCCACCATTGTCAGTGGGTTGCTGCTGCCTAGATACCTCTGTTGGATGAAGTCTTAATGATCTGTTCTTTTGACAGGATGCCCAGTCATTGCATGGTGACATTCCACAGAAACAGAGAGAGATCACATTAAAGGGTTTCAGAAATGGAACATTTGAAGTTCTGGTTGCAACCAATGTAGCTGCCCGTGGTTTAGATATCCCTGAAGTTGACCTGGTCATACAGAGTTCACCCCCAAAGGTAAGAAACGGGTATGCCCTTTTTTTTTTTTTTTTTAGAAAAAATGAGTCAGCCATTTTTTATATGACAAAACAGCAACGGCAGATGATTACTTTATCTGCATCAAATTTTTTAAAAAATGTTGATTTACTGGTGGTATGAATTTAAGATTAGTGCTGCAGTGAGTTTTTTTTTTCTTTAACTGCAGGTGTAAAATTTTCCTGTTGAGCATTTATTTTTTGATTAAATTAAATGTAGGTGTTTGCCCTCTTTTTTTTTTTAATATTATATCTTCTGAAGCCCTTTTTCAATATTTCTAAATCTATTTTGAATTCCATCTATTTTTCCACTGAAATTTCAGATTGTATAAAGCCTTTAGTCATTTAAGTTTATGATACTTCCAGTCTTTTACCTGAATCTGGTGTTACTCTTTCCCTCCAAGGTCAGGAGGGTCACTTCATTTCCAAACAGACTTCCAAGAGCACAGTATAGCATCCCTCTTGGAAACCTTTTATTTCACACAGACTGCTGCATTGCGCGAATCAGATTTGTTTTCCGATTTTGCAAGATTAGTTGCTTTGGGTTTTGTTGTTCCTTTTTTGGCTAGACACTTCCCTCTTTATTTGAACCTTGCTTTCTCTTTTTAATGTTTACTATCTTTTTGGATAGTTAAATCTGTTATCATTAACCCTCCTACAAAATTTCCTTATACAGCAGGAATAAGGGAGCTCTGGGTTTTATTAAAAAAAAACTCTAGAATGCTTTTAAAATTTCTAGATGTTTTGTGAAACCTTCTAGGCCTTTTAATTTTAAAAAACTTAAATGTGTTCATGTTAATTTTTTATTTTTAAAGGATGTGGATTCATATATCCATCGGTCTGGACGCACAGGAAGAGCTGGACGGACTGGAATTTGTATCTGTTTTTATCAGCGAAAGGAAGAAGATCAATTAAGACACGTAGAACAAAAAGCGGTAACCGTCTAGCTTTCTTTGGGGTTTGTTTTTGTTTAATCAGTCATTGAATATCTAAAAATTCACTGTGCGCATATATTCTTGGGGAACCTCATAATCAAGTGCTGTGTAAGGCCGCACAGTTCCAACCCAGCAATAGGCAGGGCCTAAAATGGTAATACTAGTCTTTGAAAAGTTTTTACGTACTGTGCTGTGTTGTCTTCTGCAGGTTTTCCTATTCTTCAAATATAACTTTGCCAAGGCTTGTTCATGTGAAACTTTGTGTATATACTTTTAAAACTAGTAGTTGGTGTCTGATAGATTGTGGAACGATTACATGTTCTTTCTGTGAACTACAAAAATCTATTTTTAAAGGAGAACTTGAAAGGCTGTTCTGAAAACAATGTCAAAGCATTGAAGGTACTGAATCAGTAACGTGCAGGCTTTTAAATTTACAAATTAAAATGAAATTCTTGAAAATCCTCTCCTATTTCACTTATTTGCCGAGGCTTGCATTTAGAGTTGTATAATCCCTACAAAGATTAGAGGTAGAAATCCCACTTTTTGCATTTCCTGTTCTGTTTCAGGGTGTCATTAGCTGCTGAAAGCTAAACAGAGAATTTTGAACTCTAGGTTCTTTCTTTTTGGCATGTATTAAACATTCATCTAAGAACTTGACTTACTTCAGGAGTGTTTAATGGAAAGAGGTAAAAATTATATAGTAAAAGCAGAGCCTTGAACCAAGTATTGTCTCAGTTCTCTGGCCTAATTCTGTCCCTCATGCTTTCAGTTTCCTTTGAGGATTAAATACACTTGCACTGTATGATTAAATTGTTTTCAGTGTCAATCCATTGACATTGCACAAACTATTATACTGGCTTTTGGCTAAGATCATTCTTATGTCTAAATCTGATATGTCTTGTGTTGTGGGGTTGGACTCTGATCTAATGAGTCTTTTCCATTTCTAACATCTTTGATTCAAATATGTGATCAAGACACAGGTACTCACACATTAACAAAAATAGGAATAATTTTAATGTGTTATATTTTATACAAGAGAGGCTTTTTATAGTTTTTAAATTGTCATGGTTAAATAAAGATTGAACAAAGGATTTCCTGCTTAGGACTAGTAAGGGAATGGTGGCCTTGGAAACAGGACTTGACGAGAGTTTGGTTCTGTTGCGTATTGTAGGGAAAAGACCTTGAGCTCTAATTCATTTTCTTTTCTCAATTTCAGGGCATTACATTTAAGCGTGTGGGTGTGCCTACAGCCACAGATATAATTAAAGCTTCTAGTAAAGATGCTATCAGGTATGTTCATTATCTGTCCACAGTTACGAGATGTCTTGAACTTGTAGAAGAAAAATATATGGAGATGTTGGACTCAATCCTGTTACATATACAGTCATACATCTCTCTCTCTCATAAAATCAGTTGCCTTACATGTGCACGCTGGCTGATTTTAGTAAAATATTAGCAGTATGCCCCTGTGTATTTCAGCCCCTCACACAGCAAAATGTCCTGTTTAAAAATATATGTGGTTAAAAGTAACTTTAAATTATAACCTACCAAACCTAACTACAAGTAATAGAACAAAAAATTGCTTACATATAGGGAAACTGACTTATTCCTATCAGTTGTTGTTGATTTTTAAGAATTGTTACTATATTTAGTATAACTAGAATACCCTTTTAGTTAATGTATTTGTTGCAACTCACACCCTGCATTCTATATCAGATTCATTATTAGTGTTGCTGTTTTTAGTCTGTTCAGTGTGAGTCCTAGCTTTGTACACATCTAACACCTAGTTGGTGGAAATTGCTTCCAGGTGGCATTTTCCTCATGCTTCCCTGCAGGGACTTGCACAGGAGTAAAAATTTGACCCCTTTTGGGAGGACACATTCTGTGCTCCTGCCAGGACCAGAGGCGCTTGCTGTTGCTCTGGGGACCCTGTGCTCCCCTCTCCTACCCACCCCCACCACAGGATATCCTGTGCTCCCACCACCGGGGACGCTGTGCTCCCCCCTCGACTGGCCCGTTCCTTGCCGGACCCAACCCCAGAAATTCTGCTCACTGGCCCACTACTATTGATTAGGAGGATTGTTGCACCATATCATCTCAGCTGCTGACTGGGGGAGGCAGAGAAGAGGATCGGGTGGATGAGCTCTGGAGAACACGGGTTCCTGGAGGAGGGAATCTGGCTCAGGGCTGCAGCTGAGAGCTCTGCCTGGGTGTGCACTGCGAGCAGACATATGGTACGAAAGGGGGGGGGGGGAAGATACCCTCCGTAAATGGTGCCCCTGCCCCGGGGCCAGAGGAGCTGTCAGCTCCTGACAGCCCTGGGGGCTGGAGGAACTTTCTCTTCCCCTGGGGCCAGAGGAGTTTTCCAAAGCCAGATAATGATTAGTGGGGTCCGTGCCTGTGCTTGTTGTCATCCCCCCCCATCCCTCCTCATTCACACCCCTGCTTCGCTGTCTTGAAAGCTTTTTCCCCTTCATATTGTGAGTGATGTGTTGATGCTTTCCGTATGTCATTTTCATACAAGAGAAAGGTGGTTTACTAGTCAGTGTCAAATTTGACTGACTTGAACATACATATCTGATACTTGTAAGTTTGGACCCAAATCAGCCTTCAGTTGTGCATCTACAACAGCCACTGAAGTCAGTGATTGCTGCACCTATGTAGGGTCTCCTGTATCCATCAATAACTGCAGCGGTAGGATCAACTAGCCAGCCAAATAGGCCCTTTCTAAATGTAATATCTATGACTCTTAATTAAGATGAATAGGTATAACATTTTATATTTCTAAGAATTTTCTTGACTACAATTTAATAGTTTGTATTTGCTGTATATCAAGAATAAACTTTGCCAGTATAGTATGGTTTAGAAATATTTGTTCAATCTGAGATTGGCAGAGGTTTAATAATATAACTTGAGGGGGTGGATCTGGGGTTGTGACCACCCTGCTCTTCTCATGTTGCTAAATGGGACTGGGAGTTCCAGCACGGAAGAGGTTGAGAACCATTTGTCTAGTGAGCTATTGGTATGCACTGCTGTGTTGGAGATGGCAGGTTTAACCCGTGTTGGAGATGGCAGGTTTAACCTTGCCTCCCCCAGCTTTGCTCCCTGTGTCAGTGGTAAGTGTCAGTGTGTTGAAGCAGCCTGCTCTGAGAGTAGGAAGCGCTTTGCTCAGCTCATCAGTGACACTATGGTGTGCTACAGAAGGGCATTGGTAGATGCTAAACAGAGATCTGTTTATTGCTCTTGATGAAAGGATGATCACTACAGGACCTTCTGTGTGGAGCATAAATCAGGAATCAGCTTCACTGGTGATACAGAGTATTCTTGGGGCAAAGGGCACTCTCTGCATGTGTTACAGCCTTCTCTTGGGTGGTTAGCTCAAGATTTTCCAAGTGACTGGGTGCCAAACTGGGAGACGCCTTAAAGAGGCTAGATTGTCAGAAGATGAGGACTTGCCACTTCCAGAGTATCAGGCCCCTTTGACAGTACCCAAGACAGGTGCACAAAAATTGAAGCACCAACAATAACTAGTCACTTCTGAAATTCTTGGCCTTAACCTTTGCATTAGTCTTAACAAGTTAATAAAATTTCTCACACACAATTGAATTTTGTAATGTTGGCTTTCTGTATATTGACCTATCAAATCTTTGTTGTAAATATGTAGGTTTTTGGATTCCGTTCCTCCTTCTGCCATCGACTATTTCAAACAGTCAGCTCAGCGGCTGATAGAGGAAAAGGGGGCAGTGGAAGCTCTGGCTGCAGCATTAGCCCATATTTCTGGGGCTACTTCCATTGAACAGCGTTCCTTGCTCAACTCAGATGTGGTAAATAATAATGTTGCATGTCACTACTGTGCTCAAAGCACTGTATGAACTAATCCTCCTAACACCTCTGTGAGAGGGGTAAATATTCTATCCATTTTAGAGAGAGAGATTGTGTATTGAATGGTAAGCAGTGTTGTCAGCAAATGTACTGAGTAAGTGTAACAAGACCTGATACCCTTTAGCTCCCTGTGTCTGAAACTGGCCCTCACCATCACTTTCTGGCACTATTTAGTTATAGAGATTGCTGCCTCCATTCTCCTTTAACGAGGTACTCTCAGGTTGTTAGCCCAGTCCAAACAGAGCTTCCTTGGTTGCTTTCCCAACTAGGTGCCTGAGCTGCAGCTATTGTCGACCTTACATCAAATTCCAGTTTTCTTAACTAAAATCAAATCGTAGTGGCATAGTTCAGAAAACAGAGGAACTTGAAACTAGTGAGTATATTTTCCTTTAACCAGCACTAAGAAAAGGATCCGTAAATTGTCTCCAATCTCAATTACAGAAAAGCGTGATATTATCATGGAAAACTTTAGTAAAGTTTCTTGAGCCAATAGGATGGTTTTTGCTGCTGGCTGAGTCTGTCTTTCTGGAAAATGTTTCAAGTCCCAGCATATTTCAAGGAAAAAGAGTCCAGCAGGTAGTCTCTGGGAGTATATTGTTACAGGGAAGACCCTGTAGAAAAGCTCTGTCTTTCTTTGATGTGGGCAGGGGCTGCCCAACTCCAGTTCATCTTTGTAGGGTAACTGTTTTGAAGTCAGTACAGTAGATTTCATCTTATTACATAGCCATCTGGATTTCCTTTCCTTATATTGGCCTGTACTAAGTTCTCATGTCTCTTCCTTTTGTAATTTTATAAATGGATATTGATGTGCACCTAATAACTGTTCCTCCACTTCCAACAAATATATTCAGTCTAAAGACTGATACCAATGTGTATTTCTAGCTCGACTTCATTTTCTCTTGAAGGCTTTCATTAGCATGCAAATGGAGGGTGCCTTTATTCCAAACAGCCTACTTGTTAGCAGAACAGTAAAGCCTTAAATATTACAGTAGCCACAAAGATTTATATTGGAATTCATATTCGACAGATTGGACGCTGTCTGCCACAATCTGGTTTACTCCTTCATTGTAAACACATTTCACTGGTTGTTTGTTTTTAAAGGGCTATGTGACGATGACGTTACAATGTTCGGTAGAGATGCACAGCATTGGCTATGCCTGGCGAGGACTAAAAGAACAGCTTGGTGATGAAATAGACAATAAAATTACCAGAATGCGTTTTCTCAAGGGAAAGATGGTGAGATGGTTTATCCAATTGTTTTGTATGCTTGGTTTATTTTGGGAATTTAAGGGCATCTTCTCCTTTTAATGCAGGTGTTGGCTTCTACCATGACCACTCAAAGTTGTGTCTATGAGAGGAGGGTGGATTTTTCTACATTTTGCCTCTGTTGTGATCCAATGACAGAGAAGTTAGGAAATTCACTTCAGATGGGAACCCATCGTGTTACACTAATGGGTTGAAATTGCTTCTCTTTCATCAATAAAATAGACAAGTTGTTCTTCTCATTGCCCACACTGGTCTGTACATACTTTGAAATCAGCCACTCAGCGATTTGGCTCAGTTGGGTCACTTTACTCCTTTGTGAAGAGCATTGACAAAGAAGTTGCATTACAGGAAGTTCATGTCCTACCTTTGAACAGATACATTACTTTCGGGAAGTGGGGCTGCTGTCAGTACCAAGCATTTGATTCCTCATTTCTTGGCAAATCTGTCGGAAATAAAAATTTTAGAATATAAAAAGGCACTCTCAAAATAGAGCAGGCACTCTGCTATAGTTGTAGTCTGTTATCGGAAGTTAGTGTTCCAATGTCTCTCTCTTTGGATGCCAGCTTGGAGAGTAAATGAATATTATCTCTGTTGTGTTTAGGGTGTGTGCTTCGATGTCCCTACAGCTGAGCAAAGTCATATACAGGTATGTTCTTCTTGCTGGAGGGCCTTTAGAATCCTTTTGAGGACATTTAAGCCAAATACTGTAGCTGCTAGTTATATGCTTATACTATGGTAGTATAAGGCTTGCAGTTTTTTGCAGAGAGTCTGAAACTTTTGTGCATAAAGAGGGTTGCACATTCATTACAAAATATACTCTTTCCTGCTGCTCTCATTAACTAAACTTATTTTGTTGCTTCTGACTTTTTGCTTGTCTGTCCATTCCCTTCCTCCTCTTTACAAAATCCTACATTGTTGTCTACATAGTGTCTTGGCCTTTTGGCTGCTGCCCGCTCCGCTAACTGAGGGCATTAATAGTAACCAACTTCCCCTGGGGTGGTTCTCTCCTTCGTCCCATGACTGTGAATTGTAAGGGTTTTAAAGACGAATGTTGACCCTTGTCCATAAGATGGATCTGATGAACTAGTTTGGTGAGGATTAGGTTGGTTTTGAAATAACTTCTATGAATATGCAGGTATGCAAATTCAGTTCTTAGCATTTTCATGATTTCTTTAAATGCATTCAACTTGTTTGATCAGGAGCAATGGCAAGATTCAAGACGCTGGCAGCTGTCCATGGCAACGGAGTTACCTGAGCTAGAAGAAACTCCGCGTGAAGCAGGCCGAGGTTTCTCTAACTTCAGGAATGGGAGGCAAGGAGGCGGTGGCTTTAACAAAAATAACAGATTCAAAAACGGAGGTCAGAAACGAAATTTTCACAGAGCATTTTAGTAACTAATTCAGTTGATGTAGCTATGGGACTACATAATGCCTGCTTTGTTGAAATTAAAATCTATTGAACTTTCCCTTTTGTTTTTGTTACTTTGTTAAACCAGTCACTTTTCTGTAAGGTAGGATGGCGACAAAATCTACTTGCTGAAGTGACATAAAGTTCATTTTAAAAGAAGATCTTGCTATTTTCTTCCACTGACTTCCATTCCTGATGGACATGTTTGAAAATGTGTAGCTTTAAAAATATAAGCCAACAATTCACACTTTTGAATGAAATCCCTTTCTGCCTATATGTATTAGGACTGAGTGTCACACTAAGAACCTGCCTCTTTGGGTATGTCTGCACAGCAGCTGTGAATGACTGACTCGCATTAAAACACTAAAAATAGCAGCGTGGAGGTTGCAAAGCCCAAGCTCCAGCCCAAGCCACCACGGTGTTTTTAGCATGAGCCCTACTAGTGCAAGTCTGCCTTCTCAGGCTGGGAGGCTCGCTCTAAGCTGCAGTGTAAGTATACCCTTTAAGAGGCAAATGGTATGGAGTTGATGTACTGATAATGTGAATTTCCTTCGTTACAGTCTCTTCTACTATGCTTATGCTGTGTTAAGTGGACAAATTTGAACATAGCTGCCATAACAGACTTCATCTTTTCATTTTCTTTTAATGTTACAATTTAAAGTCTTTCTTAAAAAATATCCCTGTGGGATAGAGACACATCCCGTCCCCTGCAGGCATTAAAGCTTACTCTGAGAGTTCTCTAATCTGATTCCGTTTTCCCACCATACTGTAGCTTAGCTCCTGCTCTCCTTTGGTGTCTGATGCAATCTGGGTTTTAAATTGACAGCTGTCAAGGTTCTCAGTGAAACTGACTGTTTGCCTAGCCATCCCATCCTCACAAAACAACCACAAAGGTAAAAAAGGTGGATAGTTTTAAAAATCATGGAATCTGAGACTCACCAAGGGGCCCTTGCAGAACATGGTAGAATGAACCCCTGAGTGCTCTGGGGCAGTCCATCAGCATCCTTCCCCATCTGCTGCTGGTCACGCACCATCCTTCCTTCTGCACAAGCAAAAAACATACACCTTGAACTGTGCTCATGCCATCTAGTGGCTCAACAGCAAAAGCAAGCTTCTCTTAGATCTGCAGATCCAGAAAAGAGACATGCCCGTAGCCAAGATGTCCGCCACTGAAGACGACGAGAGCATGCTCACTCTGCTGAAAAAGGTGGCTGGAGGCACCCTCACAATTAAAGCTAGTCGCTATGCTCCAACCAACAGTGTTTGCTAGAATCCTCCTTGCAGGTACTATCAGGTAGGATGTCAGAAGCCAAGGACCCTATTTCCTCAGTAGAAGATCAGATGCAGGGCATGGCTGCCCAAACTGAGAAACACCTCAGAGATGTACAATTAATTAAAGTGAATTAGCTGATCTGGAAAGCAAATCATGCAGAAACAACCTTAGAATCAGAGGGGTTCCTGAGGGAGCAGAACAAGGGAAACCTCTGGAATTTATCCCCAGCCTTTTAATAGAAATTCTCGATCTGCCTGAGGAAGAGCCTGCAGGTCTTTGTTCCCAAAGCCTGCCCCTGGGGCTAAGCCCAGAGCACTGATCATTAAATTTCTCAGGTTTACAACCAAACAATCCATCTATTCAAGGCCACAGGGAAGAACTCTGGGGCAATGGTTTCTCAAGATTTTGCAAGGGATATTGTGGATAGCAGGCAGTTTTGCCAGGCCTACGGGAGAACAAAAAGGGCTAATGTAGTACATGGTAGTTTTCTCCATTGTTTCATGTAGTATCGGGAGGAGTGACCTATTCATTCCAAAAACCTCAGGAGGTGGAGAACTTCATAAATAACCTATAAACTACTTTTGATGTATTTTGTTCCTGATTAGTATAACTGCTGGCACTTTTTCTTTGACAGCTGTGCAGATCTAACTAGTCCCCATTACGCTGACAGCTATGCTGATCTAACTAGCCCCTGTTATGTTTACTCCCCACATACTTTGCCCAGAACTGGGTGTGGTGAAGTTGGAGTCCATATATAAACTGTGTGTTTTCTGTATGGGGGTTTTAAATTATGACAAAACAATATCGAATGGACACGCAGCAAGTGTCATTGCTGAATCCTGAATGCCACAGCTTTGCTAACTGTAAATCATCACGCCTATGATTGCTTTAATGAGCTGCCTGATGCTGAGAGAGTAGAAACATAAAACTCCCTCGTCCAAACCCTCCACTGGTGGGCAATAAGGAATCCTGACTGAATCATTTCCTAACAACCACTAGGTTGTTTTATGTGTGGAAAGCTGGCCTCTCGTAAAGGTAGTGATGTTGAAAAGCTGCTTCGGCTGCTGCACAGAGGAGCTGAGGAATCTGAAGACGCATACACAGACTACAGTGAACAGCAGTGACTCAGGGCTGTCTTCACATTGTTGGGAATCCTGAGAACAGATCTCTGATTCAGATTGTCATGCCATTGCTGGTGGATATCTGCAGCATGGACCTAGGGATGATAGTAAGGGAAGTTTCCATGCTCACTTCTGCTTATCTCCTTACATTGTTGCAAGATTGAAATGTAACCATTAAACACATTTAGTGTGCAAACTACGTGTCTGGGGATGCTGGCTTACCTACATGCATTTCAGGTTGGGGTAATAGTTGTTGGATTAATAGTTTATTGTTTGAAAATGGTTTGAAATATAGGAGATGGCAATTCCAGCAGGAATTACTTGTAATCATTTGGTAGAGAGGGTCCTTGACCCAAAACCCTGCTGAGTCCATTACACCCTACATACAACTCAGAGACTGATATAACCATCAGTGGAATGCTTGTTGTGTTATGGAATATAAACATCAAACCTTCCAGATATTTGTTGGGGATGTATCCTGTGTGCAATTGTTGTTTATAATACTTTTCAAAGCCATTTAAGGGTTTGGATGCTGCGGGGGGGATCCTGGTGAGCAGTGACAAGCTGTCTATGTCTGCCCCTGCTGGAGTATCAGAGCATTTTAGCTATATTTAGCTTGAAGTGTTCTTTCAATGCCTGATAATGGATGACATTGATCCCACGTGTTGCCAAGTATGTGACTGTTCATATGTTATAATTTTTTTCATTTCGTTATGTTCTGTTTGGGTCTCTTTTGTGCCCCCTTTGTAGTGTCTTAACCCACCCCTGTTTCTTCCCCCTTCTTCCCTCCTGATCTTAATACTCAGGAAAATTCCACCCTTCATGACAATGATTTTCATCAAGCTTCTGCAGGTGGCTGTAACTAACAGTGACATCTCCCCCCAATTTTCCTGCACCTACCTTGTTCCCTGGAGGTCTGGCAAGTGGTGAGCATCTAGCAAGATAATGCTAAATCTGTGGAATAAGTGTCCTGGGGCATTTCACTGATAGACTGCCCCTCTCGGGGGGTCCTCTGTGGGGAGTAGAATGAGATGCAATAGAGCACATAACACAAAATCCCATTACTCTTGGTTGTAAAATCACACATGACAAAAAATAGTTCTTAACAAATTTGTCCTGAATCTGTTTTATTTCCTGGAATATAAAGGGACTTAACACTCCAATTAGAAGAAGAAAGTATACTTATTATTTGAGAGGAAAGGCAGATGCAGTGCTTTAGTAGGGGACACCACTGATGAGGCTGCTAAATTAGAATGTGACTGCTTCCCATCCAGATCCAGAGGGCTAGTCATACTCTTTCATAAAGCACTGATCTGAGTCAATTTCAGATGATCAGGGTGGATTCTTAACCCTTAAAGTCACCATAAATGGATCTGAACTAATCATTGCTAATATGAATGAGCCTGACCTTGATGATCCTGAAACCTTTCATAGGTTATTTTACTAAATTGACGGAGAACCCTATTGTAATTGCCGGGGGATTTTAATTAAGGGCTTGAATCTCTGGACAAATCTTACCCTCAGTGTCAAAACAACTAAAATCAGAATGGTTCTGGAATTGCACATTAAAGACCTGGGACTATGTTATACCTGGCAGTTCATACATCCAACAAGTTGGGATTATTCATACCTTTTCCCCAGGATAAGCGTCCTATTCCTTTCTAGGTTTTTTTTTTCCTCTCTCCAGGGACTTGGTTAATTCTGTAGTTGATTCCTGCATGGATAAAATTACTGTCTCTGATCATACCCCTGTAACTCTTTGAATAGCAACAGATCCAAGTAAGTAACAGCCATGTAGATGGAGATTGAATTCTTCATGTTTATTAGATCCCTATTTCAACATTCTTACTGGAAAATAAATTTGCCTGTTGAAGACAAATGGACCTTCAGCATCTTCTAGCAGACTATTGTGATAGACACCCAAGCCCTATTTGAGAGGTAGAATTATTAGTTTCACTTTTTCCAAGAAGATGGAACATGGAGAAAATATGATGGCTCTTGAGAAAAAAGTAAAAGAGCTTGATTTGTCTTATGCCACAACCCCATCTTCAGATTTGTTGTGATCCCTGATCAATTATCGATATGAACTCAACAAGCTTCACTGGGTACAGGCTGAGTTTGCCCTATTTTGACTCAGGTAGGATTTCTGGGAATAAGGTGAAAAAGCTGGCAAGTTGCTGACATACCATCTAAGATGGGGTGGGCAAACTTTTTAACCCAAGTGCCACATCTGGGTATAGAAATTGTATGGCGGGCCATGAATGCTCATGAAATTGGGGGTTGGAGTGTGGGAAGGGGTGAGGGCTCTGGCTGGAGGTGCAGGCTTTGGGGTAGGGCCAGAAAGGAGGTCAGGGTGTGGGAGGAGGCTCTGGTCTGGAGCAGGAGGTTGGGCTGCGGGCTCTGGGTGGGGCTGGGGGATGAGGGGTTGGGGATGCAGAAGGGTGGGATGGGGATCAGGGCTGGGGCAAGGGGTTGGGGTGCAGGCTCCAGGTGCCTCTTACCTCAAGCACCTTCCGGAAGCAGCAGCATGTCCCCCCCCTCCGGCTCCTATGTGAAGGCACAGCCAGGCAGCTCTGCGCACTGCCCTGTTAGGAATTATACCTGAGAGGACATGCACACAACTGCTGCGAATTATACCTGAGAGGACATGCACACAACTGCTGC